GGCCCATAAAAGTCCCTTCGAACAACAAACCATGTATACCTCTCGGTGCTCGTAAAAAGTTACTCAAACTCTCGACGTGGTACAACTGAAACCATGATGCGCTTCAGCTGATTCTAGGCGGACTTGGTTCCATCCATAAATAAGTGTTTCATTCTCGCGTTGAAAAAAAGATTTTAACATGAGAGAAGCCAGTTTACAGGCTTCATCACGTTGATACATCTCAAAATATCTACAAGACTTGAGCCCTGAGTGGTGCTGACGGAATGCCATTAAACTCAATTAAAAACTGCCGAAGGTCCTGCTGGTTGTGACATGAACAAGGAAATACTGCCTTACAGTGCAAATTGAGTGCTAAAGTTCAGATAATAATAAATATTATCCTCATATAGTGGGTTTAAATGAGGGTTACCAGTTCACAAGCACCGTCAAATTCATAACTTTTGAAAGTTTATGAACTGGCACCTAGTATTTAATAATTCACACATCAAGTCATTAGTGTGCACAATCCGACTAAAATTTACTGAAATTCATGAGACGGATATGAATTTCCACCTCCCATCTCACAGACAGGTTCCATCATCAATATCAAAAGCGCGGTGTTCAAAGTTTGCGTTATAACCAGCCGACGTTGTTAGTGCATTCGCGTAGTTTGCTGATTACTAATATAACAGTTTATTACTCAGAATGATCTTCAGTTTTTAGCTTTGCTAACCACAAAAGACCCATATACAATCTGGAGCATCAATAAAGTATCCACAGTTATATAACTAATGTGTATGGCTATATCAATGCATTTTCAGGTCACCATGTTACATTTAAGGGTAATATAGATTAACTCTGCTGGGAATACTTGTTTTACTGGATGAAAATAGATGTTGAAATAGTCAGTAGTCCAAGTGGCAGTATTTCTACGTAGACTTTGGTCATCTTTTGTATTAGCATAGGCGGCATCATTCGAGAAGTGTATTTGAAGCGTAGTAAGTTTCATATGAAAAGGTCTGTTGGTACAGAGTACTAGAAAATATGTAGTGTTGAGCCATTACAGGTAAGTGACGTCCTGAGCCAATGTGTTAAATGCTCTCCAGTTTAGTCATCTGTTCAGAATGTCTCTGCTACTAATACTGTTGGGAATAGTCAGACGGTTCGTCGCAAGAAGAATCATGACCAGTAGGTAAGTTAGTCTTGAAGATGGTCCAGAATTTGCGAAAGAGTGGGAGCAGTCCAATAATTATTGGCGTCAATGAGCAGGTGTTATTCCCACAAAGTAATCACGTTCAGACTGAATTTGAACATCAGATGTCGACTTGCAGCTGTTTCTGCAAATGGGGAAAGAAAGAAGAGGCACGAGCAGATATGGAGAGATTACTACGCTATCACATTTGGAGAAGAGAGAGTCTCCATTCCTTTTTTAATTATTCGGACCTTATGTAAATTTTCATTTATATATGTGAAGTCAACTACATAGTCCTTCCATTATAGGGTTATTAGGTCTTTATTTGGGGAAGAGGGGAGCCAGTATTCATACCCTTGTATGCAGTCGTAAGGCCATCTGAATCAAAGGAACTGTAGGGCTTTAGTAAGACCGTTTCTTACATTTAGAGGTCTGAGCACGTTCACAGTGGACGCAATGGCTTGACCATTGTTATGTGCTGATTGCTGCATTATGCTTCGTATTTGTGGGTATAATATGAATGTCAGGAAATTTATAGATATCCGTGAAAAGAAAAAATTCGTTGAGTAGACGTCGAAACTGAAATGCGGACATGCAAGAGCGAATGAAATGTGGAAGCTTATTCCATCACTTGCTGTACTGTAACATAAAAGAGCGTGACCTGAGTTTAAGGCGGTGCTTTCCTACAGTGCATTCAAGATTGCGCAGACTATATGAGGACATAGGCTTAAAAGTAGGAGCGCAACAGGCTTGAGTAATGTCATGCAAAAAGCGGAAAAATAGGTTAAGGTTGAGCTTAGGGCGTCTTAGCCAAAGTGGGTCAATTTTTAGTTTCTTACACCTTCCGTGATAATCAAGTTTTTCGTGACGGCCCAGAACATAGCGCGTAAACTTTCTTTGAACATTCCCAATTAGTATCCTATCCGAAGCATACATATTGCTGAAGATGATTGTGCCATATTCAAGTACTGGGCTGATCATTACTTTGAATAAAAGCAGTCTGGCCTCAGTGGTACATAGGTGTTTAAGCAAAGGCCAACTGAGCGCCTACACTTGGAGGCAAGTAACTGGGCATATTCCGTAAACGTTAAGTTCCGAGAATACCTAATACCTAAATCACATACTGAGTTGTAAGATTGCAGCACAGAATGAAGCAAAGTGCGATTTTTAAAACCAAAGGGGACTGATAGTCGCTATTGGCTTAGGCTCATGATTTCCATGATCACTACACCTGTCACTGATTGTATAAGTTTTGAAATGTAATGCACTGTTAATTTATAGAATAACAGTTTGGAGCATTGTAATCATACCAGTATTATCTGAAATTGTTCAGTATTGTATAAATAATCTTTCGTCTAGTTATAGAGCCGATAATTCATCATCGACGTAGGACTAGACATTACTGCATAATGGTCCAAGTCGCCACACCTCATATATCAACACATCAAGCGAGAAGGCACTGAGATCGAAGATAAAGAGGTAATAAAGGACGTTTAGCGAAGAGTCACTCTTTTCAGCGATATCATTTTCAACCTGTACAATCGCATATAATTATCATATTCACCTGGTAGCAGGAAAAAAATGTTTCATGAAATATTCTTGAAGAAATTCAGTTTTGATTATAAATCAAAAGATTAGAAAAATAGTTACCTAACGTTTGAAATAGTTATAAGAAGAAGACTTATCAAAACCGAAGCAATATTAAGTTACTAAGTTAAATCATGTAATATGGTGCTGGTGCATGTAATCAGGATTTTAAGGGTGTAAGAATTTGATTTATGAGATGTGATATGCTAGGTAGCAGGATTTGAGGGTAAAGTGCTTTCGTAGGTGATGTCCATTGCAACTCAAGTGACTGGAAAAGCTTCTTTTGAATACAGAATTCAGGCTTCAAAGCATTAATTGTTATGGCTTCCGCAGTTTGGAGAAGTTTCATGTATACACGTTTCACGAGGATTGCACGAACTCCATTGAGAACACTGGAATTGTTTTCTACATTTACTTGGGAGGTCACAATCGATTAAGAAATAAAGAATCTGTCAAAAGTCGTAGAATGTACTAAAAGAGAAGAAAGAATTTACTGGGTTCAATCTGACGGTTAAGATGAGGATAATGTATGGGTGAATCTGCACCACTGAGATCGATTTTGAACCACAACACCTCGAGTCCTCAGCCACTGGCTTCTGTTATCATACAAACCCCAACCGGGAAGTCTACAATTCCTAACGTGGTTCTAACCAACAGCCAAAGATTTCAAGAAATGATGTCATGTTTTGGTCTGGTCATCTGTAACATTTTTCAGCCTGAACTTCGCCTAACTGTGCGGCGAGTCGAATGGTGACTAGACTTGCGTAATGTATTTCTCAGCCACCCGAGTCGACAAAAGTTCAAAACTTCATCAGCTGACTTTCATTTTCTCCCTAAGACTTTACACCTGACTTCTGCATTACTGACGTGGTGATATCAAGACGCACAGTCTATACTACGAAGGCAACTGTGATCGAATACTTGGAACCTTCTCATATCCTCTACTTTTAATGTTCATGTTTCACAAGCATTTACGAGAATAGAGAAAACTATAGCGCAGTACACTCAACCCATAATTCACAATCAGATATCACGGCGTTATAAGTGGCAGAAGTTGGTGAAAGTCAATTGAGCCTTTTGTATCTTTGCAGAGAGTTCGTAAGTCTCTGATCCACCAGGGCCAATGCAACTTCCCAGGTAAGTGAGGTGATCAAAGCACTCAACAATCCCGCTCTATTGGGTTAGACAGGGCACCTCTGAAGACCAATCGTGGGGCAACAACTTGCCTTTGGGTGGCAAGAAACGCATTCCTAACATTTTCGAATTGCCACTCTTGGTGTCAAGAAACTGCATTTTGTTAGTACCTTCACCTAACAGTACTATGTCATCTGAATATTCTAGATCTACCAGGGTTCTGTGATTAGACCAATCCCTGTAAAGTGAGTCGATGAGAGACCTCTGTAAGTACTTCTATAATAAAGTAGAACAAAAATCGAGAGAGTAGACATCCTTGACGAACACCACTCACATAGACTCTAGCACGACCACTAGTATTCGAGTACATAGTCTTCAACATAGTGATGTATACAATCGTCAGCCATTTCAGTGAGAGTCACTGTCACAAGACCTCTCGGTCGACGGAGTTGAATGTCACCTTAGGGGTCGAGTTGCGGATGTCGCTAAGTGCACCTGTGTTCCAGAACCTGACGAAGAGTGGATATTTGGTCGATACACCCACGGCGAAATCTGAAGTCTTGGGTTTTCTGTTCCCATGGTTCACTCGGACGTCTCATTATCGGACCTAAGATAATAGAAACTACTTTTGTGAAACTGACTCCTCTGTGATTATGACAGGAGGACTTCTCACCTTCTTGGAAGACTGAGACCATCAGTTATTGACACTAATCAGAGATCATATCTCAATCTCATTCACTATATCCACCGTCCAGTTGACGTTGGTGGACACCAGGTCAGATAGTGTCTCTCTTCATCTCATGCTTACCAGAAGTAAATAGTTTTCTGAGCACATTTGTAGCAGGCGATCACTGTTATCTGTCCGTTCCGCTGAGATTCCGAGTGCCACCCACCTAAGTACTTTTCTGACTGACGTGGTCTACTCACTTGTGGATTAAAATCGTTTGCATTAACAACACGTATGAACTTTTAACTTTCAGTAGGAGACTAGGCAACTTTTGGTAGAACTATTTATTCATGGAAAAGTAATTACGTTGATTCGTAAATGGTTCTCTATCAGTCCAGTCAAGTCATTAAATCCAAATTGTTCTGTTAATCTCTTTTTTTCAGGCCACTTGCTTATAGCACGTTGGCTGATCTTACTCACCATATCCGCAGTTCTCTCAGTCTTTCGAATATTGCTCGCGCTATTGATGTTTATGGTCGTAATATACATGATCACACACTCCGTTTTCTATCCAACAAATGAGTTTACGACTGGTACTAAATTTGGTTGAGTGTGTTCGGCAACTAGCAGTTTCTGCAGCATCTACTGGTCAAGGGTTTCATCAGCAAAAACCGATGATCGAAATCGTGCAGTCGTTTTTGGTACTGCAAGGCGTTTACTTATGCAAACATTACGTTTATGCGTACTCAAAGCAAAAGTTGTAGCGGATCACTACATACCTGCATTGGAATCTGTGTGGTAAGTCTCAACGTCTACTTTTCAAAATATTATTCACCAAGTTGGTAAAGTTTAAGTTAAGCAGCTTGCCTTGTGAGTTGTGTACATTGTAAGGTGTTCACAGTGAACAGTTCTCCATAATCACCGTTCGTTACACTGCATGAATATCCTATCCCTTCAATTTTATTATCAGATAGGAACAGGTGTGGTAGTAAAATTATTTTTAGTCAATATTATCACTGAAACACGATTATAGACTAAATTTGATGCGTTAAGTTTTCCAAGATTTATTCCTAGCCTGCTGTTTAGTATAAAAGTTTAATTTTCTTTTCACACATCATCTGCTTACTTGGGCTCAACAAACTGGGAGTTAAATTCAGACAGATAAGCTGTATGATGAGAAATATTGTGGAGTATAACTGAAAATTCAGCATACATAATGACTTTATATTAACCGGCTTAAAAAGCTGTGTAGCGACTCAACTACGATGGATTTTCAGTAATAACTTCGTATATTTTTGGACGAAAACGAAACAAAACCTTTGTTTAAGCACATTCACTTCAAAAAGGGTAAACCGGAATGAGAAAATATGTAGTTATTCCGAAGTGCCTTCCTAAAGCATCTCGGATATTCGTAATTCTTTATGCATTCATTGAAAAAACCGATCTTTGCATTGGCTCCAGGAAGCTTGACAGAGTAACATATTGAGTTCCTTTACTGTCCAAAGGTCCTTGCTACTCTTGAATGTACTAACAATCCCCGTCAAGTCATGAAGACGAAGAATAGTTCAACGAAGAGTCTGTTTTTGGCGACTTCATTTCCAGGATTGTACAATCGTAATTGCATACAATCTTCTGGAGGATGTTCAGTGTTCTGCAATAAGTTTTCTTTTTTTTGTTGAAGAGCATGGTAACAAAAAACATAGTTTGTTGTTTGTTAAAGACGATAAAGTTATTAAGGTTAGTGAATACCAGTCAAAGTTTAATAGAAGTTGGAGGTTGAACTCGAAGAATGAACTGTCATAAAATAGCACAGAAAGAAGACTTGATATTGCTTAAGAAGTGAACAGAATGGAAGACAAAGAAGAAGAAATAGTGGTTTGAAAAGAGACGAAGATAATCAAGTCCCTTTTATCTGCAAAGCTCTGGGTTTTCTATGTAGACAACACAAGTTTCTGCAACACAAAAGAGGCGAACTCACAGCTTTTGACGGATTTCCTTTCACTCTGTAGATAACTTGGAAACAGAAAGCTGTTGAGATCGCGTGATCAGTGTGAATAAGGTGTTCAATTATTCCATTTCTTATAGAACCGCTACCACGTTTTCGCAACCATGCTTTTGAATCCTTTTGGAAAAAACTCACGTTGAACGATCGTTATACCTTGTTTCAAGTTCCAATGAAGCTAAGATGCGAGTTGCAAGAGAAATAATTTGGTTTCTTTTGCGACTAATACGCACCCAACTATAGAAGCTTGTTAACTAGTCAGTCCATCTAGGTTTTTTGTAAGTTGACCTTACCAATATTCCATCAATCATCCTTGTTAATTCTATGTCCAGAGACCGAATTATAGATTGACTTTCTACTTCAAGAGTGAACTTAATCGCTGGATGACATTTGTTAAATGTTTATTACGTAATTCAAGTTGCTTTTCTTATTACATATGATGGAAACATCACCACCATACTCTTCATGCATTTGAAAATCATTAACTGCTGACTTTAGTTGACCATTTTCCAGACTTGCCATAAAACAACCTATCAGTAGTGGACCCAATGAGTATGATCTAGATATTTTACATTAATACATCAATAGAGTTAATGCACACCTATCTTTGATGAACCGTTTCTTATCTAAGGTATGTAGTATTGTTGCTTAAATTTGCTGCAAATAAGCTTGAATTCGTGCATAATATCTGTATTAATATGGAAATTCTGCAACGGAACACATCCTCAAATGTCATTCAAATCTTCATTGAAGAACATTTTCTCATCAAGTGATCACAGAAGTGTATGGAGGTTACTCATTACAATAAATATTTTCTTAACATATGGTAGATAGTTGTGAAGAAAGTTGTCATAGAGGATCGCAAGGTTTCTTATTTTACATCTGTACTTGCCTGACACATTGCTATGCTGATGAAAGAATTATAGGATATGCAATACTTGTTTATATTAAAAAAATACTGAGGCGATCTGGTTATTTATTAACTATGTGTAAATAAAGGTACGTTTTCTACAAAATTTTCTGTTGATTATCGTGTTAGTACATAATAATCACACAATCAGTATTCTCAGCCAAAGACTGTCGGGGCTATGGCTGACTTGTCTTGAAAATTAGTTTGCAGTCATTAGGTCACAATTTCGAGACTTACTACCATCTACTGTGGGTTGTGTAGTTTGGTAGCAGCCCTAACCTCTTTTATTTGTAAATATGGACATACATGTAGGAGCTAGTAGTAGTGGTACGTTACTTTGAATAAGTGCTGTACCACATGGATTCAAAAATCCCAATTTGAATTGTGTTATTAAAACAACTGCATTGGTTTTCATGTAGTATACCAGAAGCAAGTGAAGAAATTTCTTCTAATCCAGCGAAACAACGTCCAAGATCTCTACATGCCTACCTATTTGCCAATATGCCCTCTTTCTCCAGTGAATTAAACGAAGTCGGCTCATTTAATGATAAAAATGTTTCCCATTCGGATTTAACAAATATTCAAAATTTAGGAATTGATTCATCAAAAGTTCATGAGGTTAGTTGGATCTTATTGCACTTTGTTTTGCACTCTGTATTTTACTCTCAGTATCAAAGTTTTATAATAGTCATGTATTCGTAAAGTAGGACAATTTAGTTTTACTCGTTTCCTTCGGAAACTTAGCACAAGCGTTCAGTGATCCATGTCGCTACACCTGTAAGGGGCATTATTATTACTTAATGTGATACTAAAATAAAAGAAAATTTTTGGTTATATTTCAAAGCTAATAATCAGATGTTGTTAATCCATTTTGTTTGCTGTTTACATTGCTTCTTGCCACTTTCTCTATTCTTTAAAAACATCGTTCTTTACTCTGTTGTGAATAATTTTACAATGTTATGCTTTATTTATTTATACTGGGCGATGATTGAAGGTGAGATGAAAATTTAGACTGCAGCTGAATTTGAACCAGCGACCACTGGGTTTCCGGCCCTCGTAGCTCAGTTGGTAGAGCATCGGGCCGGAAACCTGGTGGTCGCTGATTCGAACCCGGCTGCGGTTCAAACTTTCATCTCAACTTCAATCATCACCTAGTATAAATACCAGTCTGCCAAATTACGGCTGTCTCAGTCAAATGATAAGCTTTATTTATTGTTATGTAGCGTTTGCTGTTAACAAATTGGGTGGTGAAAAACTTCTAAAGGCGATTATCATCAGAATTAAGCCAATTAAGGTATGGTCTGCATTCTATTGAGTTCAAAACAGTGATGCTGAAACAGATGAACAGTTTATTGGTTTGCGAAGTAATCCTTATTAAGTTTCATACGTAGGTGTGCTTCGCAGAAACTGTACTCCTTGACCGTCTGCAAAAATTTCTCAGTGACTGTTAAAACAAAAAAAATATGTGATGTGAAAACCATTAAGTTTTAGATTAAATGATATCAGGAATTAAGGTGTAAACATTAAAGACTAACTTAATTGGATTTCAGTCATGAATTTAATCATACGTATTTTTGAGTTATCAAACTACCTTTTTTTAAAGCATTCAAACAAACGTAGTCATGATACGACGGTCGAAGTGGGTTACCTTCATCATTTTTTTAAGAGATACAAAATACACAATTTTTCTAAACGGGTGACTCCTCAAAAGAAATCGGTGTCTGCTAATTTCTATTTCAGTTGAAATGCACCCAAAAACTTCCTCTACCGAAGGTTATCTACAGCCATCCCAACAACTTTCTATGCTACCAATCTTTACTGATCATTTTTTAGTTGGTTGGTTGTCGTCGCTCAGATGAAATACGCACTACCTAGTTTCACCACTTCTATGTATGTATCACTTCAGCTGCTTCTGTGGGAAAAGCCAAATCAGACGGACTACTAGGCAGCTCACCAAACTTGGTGTTTGGAAAATCTACCTTCATGGTCAATACTAAGTTCAGTTTTGTCCAATTTGGTCGGCAGCGATCATATTATAGACAAGCTCAAAAAGTTCAAGATAACTCATCGCATTCCGTCACAGTCAATGAGTCATGTCAAGGACTTGGGGAGCCACAATAGTTGCAGATTATCGTCTACTTAACGGACTGGCACTTTATTGCTAAGTATATTTTGACTTTTTGGACTTCCACCCTTCATATAATTGTGAGAAAGTCACAAAGAGCACGAGTAAATTAAAATGTTAATAATAATGGGGTAAATTTACTAGGTTTTCTAGGCTGAATAAACAAATACACTAACATATCCGTTCTGAATATACCAGTACAAGACAAATAGTATTGAAAACGAACAGCCATGTTTAAGTTCGTCTCCTAAACGAAGTCTAACCCGTTTGTGTATAGTTATACGATGTTAGTCACTTAATTGGACCTGGTCGATTAAGTGCAGGGGACGCGAGAACTAAACAGTTACGAGATTATAATTTACAGTGCTATACTGAATACTCTTGGTATTTTTGTAATCCATTAGTTTATCATCAGAAGTGGGTGCCAGTAACTACTCATCAACCTTTATCATCAGCAATTATAATAAGAGTATGGGTAATGGGATTATTTAATCTAGTAGTTTACAAAAGTTATAGTGTTGCAAGGTTTTTCGTAACTGCAGTCTATTAAAATACCTTTATGTTTTCGGTCCCATTGTTCCTCTCACCTGATACTATTTGTATTTCGTAAAGCTTATACATTTGATAGGTTTAATGTTGACCTCTTCAATTTACGTAGCTCAAAGCTTTATAGTTTTGAAAATTTCGTTATTCCACTAACCTGACGTTGTATTTTAATTCTGATTACCTTTTCTAAAGCCTCGCATCGTTGAGCCTCTGGCCAAATTGCAACTTAGTTATACGGATGTTCGAACCCTAGTGAAAGCACTTATCACTGGTGTCCGTTCTGTGGTGACAAGTATGATGCAGTGTCCACATGATGCATCGCTCCATTCAAATAACCTTGCAACAGCTTCGGTGATATCAAACAGTCCATTTCGTCTCGGGTTCTTAATTCAGATGAATTAGTTGTATTAACGGAGTATTTTTCATATGGAATGCGTATGATAGATATTGTTCAGTTTGTTAACCGAGAGGGTCGACTCTATTTAAGAAGGTAAGAAGAAAAATAAACATTTGTTTATTGTTTATTTTAAGTGTATGCTTCGCAAGTAGTCTATTCAGATGGTTACCCTTTTACCCATCCCTTTTTTACTTCTTCCCATTTAATACAGCCAATTAAATGCTAAATCTCCTGACGAACGCCTTCTCATTGAAACTTTTGCTTCAACATTTGCTCAACTAAATCCGATTTCGTTCCAAGAAATTCTTTCCTGCAAAATTCATGTGAGTCTATTCGGTTTCGTACTTTGTACCTTAAGTTCTACTTTTCAGCAACGCATAACGGTTAAAACTGTGAAGCCGAGTAAACAACCTTATGAACAACTTTTAAGCAACTGATAACATGAACTTGTAATACACATCCCACATAAATCTAGTTGGGATCTGAAGACTTACAGTAATGTTCATTGCGATGTAGGTACGTCCATCCAGTCGTTTTTGAAAAACCCAGTACTCCTCATGATTACCACTATAACTTCGAATACTTAGTTCTAACTGTTGTATTCAATTTAGTGATTGTGATGAAGCACCCATAAAGCATATGATATGTAACCATTTTCCAATTCATAGGTGTTCAAAGAAGCTTACATTCTGTGGTTATGTTTATGTGATTATAATAGTGATAAAGAGTTATTTAGTTTTATACTTCCTCATCTACGTTTCTTAGTATTGGACAAGAATATTATGCTAGTGATTGTTGTTTTGTGAAAGTTACATTGTCCAGTTATTGTACTTGAAGAATATATCACCAAAAGCACTCACTTGACATATAAGTCTTGTCCACTGGTACAGCAAAACTCACCCGCATCTAGTTGCTGTATAGGTGTTTCACCATTATGACTCATGTCCAATGCCTGAGATGCCAGAGTTTTGGCTAAAGAGGTTTGCTATCCTATTTATCACTATATGGACATATAAAGCTCAGATGAAGTTGCCATTATTGCTCAACTGTTGATTAATAAACACCCTAGTCCAGCTTTCATATTTTAAGTTTATACACTTAATCTGTTATATAGTTGCTTTTCAGCCTCCTAATATGTTAAAAGTAATCATTTTCCTTGTGTGTATAATTCATCGTCAGAATTGTAATGATAAAAGAAATCTATATATTAACTTGGACGATTGAAAGATAAGTGAAACGAAATATCTCTGCACCCAGTTTGTTTACTGTTTTCGAAATACTCTATTGGAGAGTTTCACTGTGATAATAATTATTTGCTTTGTTTTTGCATCATATTACCAAACTGTATTTACTTTGTTTTATTTATTTTTCAGGATTATGTTGTTTGGTGCAATAGAAGCCCATCTTATACTAACGTCGCATTGCACTTACTGTCGCAACCAAATAAAACATCACACTTTGGATTTATTCTACTCTCCTATTTAGTTGACAGATTGGAGCGTTTAGGAGGTGGTTATTTTCTTCAGTATAATCAACTAACTTCGTGTTTCTTATACGATGCCTGACGATGATACTAATACTAACTTTGTCGTGTAGTTTTTAGCATAATTGTTTGTAAGAAGACGTTTGGTGTTAATTTTGTTCTTATTTAGGATAGAGTTTGACAGTGACTAAGTTAGATACTTTGTCCAGTGAAATATATAAAAGTTTCTGCAGATAGCAAGAAATAAGAAATGCACCATCAAATAATGTAACACCATGAAGACATAAAGCAAAGGGAAGTGGATAAAAATAAAACACAATAAGAATAGAATGTTTAGAAGGGGACAGTCCAGTAAGGTGCATTCGAAACGAAACATTCATTACTTTTCAGTAACAGAACACAGAAGGAAGCTGCAGCATGATGGCCACTGGTCCCAGTTCTGACCCATATCTGATAACGTCTCAAGCCACTGAGTTGTGTGATCTCTCGGACCCTACCCAGAGAGTCGTGATGCACCAACAGATGCTAAGCCAATACAACTATCCTGCATCCCACAGCACCACGTCATAAACTGACCACCCCTCCGCTTCTTCCATCCAGCCCCAGGGTTGGCAAACAATGAACGGCATAGAAGCCGTTGGAATGACATGCGTAACACACTTCCAAGTCATCGAAGCCGGTGTTTCAAGATGACTTCACTTATTGAATTACGATCTCCATCATGCCCAAACACACGCTGTCGTACCTCAGGATTACTTACAAGGTGTCGCCACTGGATACAAGCAATCCTACGAAGACAGCGATGATCGAACACAGAGTCACTAGATATTCTTAGCTAGGAGGGGCCAGGTTTCGCAGGCGTAGAGCAGAACTCACACCGAAGCGTTGTAAACCTGACGTTTTATGGTCAGACTAATGTCGCGATGGCATCGGGCGTATGTCACTCTGGCTTTCGATACGCGATGATGAATTTCACCACTCACACCACCAGCACTCACAACTGCCCAGATACGCGAACTTTCCAACTACTTGCAACGACTCACCACCAGGGTGAGCATAGGCTCCTACCAATCTTTTAAAATAGTTTGCACTTCAGTGATGTGAAGCATATACCATACTACACATAACACATGTATGAGAGCAATATGTTCTCTATCCTTCTGACTATTAACCTAAAAACAGATTGATTTAATTTTGGTGTATACTCTTAGTCCACACATTGAAAATGCTCCGCATTTGACTTTTATCTATCGCATTCAAAATAGACCGTTAGGCCGAGCAAATCATCTATTCGTTTTTACGTGGTGCAATGCTTTTTAAAGAATCAGGGATTCGTTCTTCTCTTAAGAGGAATGTTCCTGATCACTTTAAAGCGATGTTAAGATGCAATCGTGAGTACCCCTTGTGATAATTCACCAATGTACGTATCTCAGACTGAACTTGTAAATTCCAATGGAAAATGGTATATTATAGTGGTAAATTTTGAATACACAACTGTGATGAGTGACATACTGATCATGTTTTCAGCTGGGATTGACATCATTGAAGAGTTTCTCATTCACAATCAGTTAAGAATATTCTTTTTCCGCTCAACCTTTTGAATAGCATTTAAATTATACACCGTGTAAATTGAACAGGTTGCTCTTGTCACCAAAGGTTGTATTTCTATCAGTTGGTTTAAAGATGCTTTTCTCTGTCATCATCTGACTATCTGAGATAGCCGTAGTTTGGCAGACTAGTATTTATACTAGGTGGATTGGTAGAGCATTGGGCCAGAAACCCGGTGGTTGCTAGTTCGAATCTGACCACGGTCCAAATTTTCATCTTACCTTCAGTTATCACCCAGCACAGATGTTTTTCTCTTCAAAAGACTTAGAAATAAGCAATTTTTATTCATAATCATTCTTTTTTTTGAGGTTATTCTGTAACTAAGCTAAGAGATTTCTAGCTTTTGAGGTGTACTTGGCTGTTAATATTTTGTGTTCACTCTATTTCCTTTTTTAAATTTCAGATGGTACCAATGAGTCTGCACTTTACATGAGACTGCTAAAGTTGTGCTTCAGCTCAGTAAATATGTCTGGTACTGAAAATGAATTAGTTATGAAGGTTCGTAACATTAATTCCTTATTCGTATGTCTGTATTTTCTTCACCCTTTTGCGAACTGAATCGCTACTTCACTAATTTTGTGTTCATCAACTATTGTTTTATAAACAAAATTGACATTATCCTGTGAGGTGTTTTTATAGTAACTGCCAATGGTCGCTTGGACTGCATGTAATACGTTCTTTTACAAAAATTGCAGTCCTTAAGTATCTAGCTACATGTAACTCTCCAGCTACTCATTATTGCTGTTGTTTTCACACTGATGAATAATTTTGGGGATTTAAACTATTGGCTACTTAATTTATATTTCAAGTTTTTTCAAACTTAATGCAGTTCTAAGAACTTTTATGTTAGTAAGACATCACGTAAGATTCATTGATTTAACTAGTTGTGACTTTCAATCAGTGGGCCACAGGTTCACACCACTCTCTTCTGCCGAAGTTTGTAGGGTTGGGTAGCATCATCAACACTCAAACAATAGGCTTGACTCATTTCATGGAGGATTGACTGGTACATGTTTGCTGAGTTACGTGATATAACCTGTGGCTAAAAATCCAGTGTAACTTTGGCTTGCACAACTGGGTAATTTTCTGAGCTCTTTCACTTAGCCCATTACACATACTTGTATAAAGTTAGGATGTTGCATAGTCACTTTTTAACTACATGAAACGGAATTCCACTGAACTTATCTAACTTCATTTCTCTTTTCTTTAGCTCCATTTACGGCGTATTGTTCAAGGAAGTATGCATTACTGCCTTACAGCTAAAGAACCCACAGCCTATTTGAGTTTATTACGAACACTTTTTCGTTCGATAGGAGGAGGAGCACACGATAAACTTTATCGAGAATTTTTCCCCTTGTTACCTGAAATGTTGACTACCTTGAATCGCTTGCTTCGTTCGCACATCGTTCGAATGCTCGTGATCTATTAGGCGAACTGTGTGTCATCGTTCCTGTTCGTTTATCCACTTTGTTACCGTATTTATCTTTGTTAATGGAGCCATTAGTTTACGTCCTGAATTGCAATACTGTTAACCAGGTAACTTATTTCTTATATATAGTTGTTAGTTTTTTCCTCGATTTAAATAAGAGGCTAAAGTGTAATCAAATTATTTTTTCAGTAATTTGTTATATCTGCATCAGGATAATGTATTCACCCACTGAGTGATTCTCTGTTTTACTGAGTGTACTTAAGTGTTAATAAATAAGGATAATAACAAAATGATTTTCTAAACATCCTAAGGAAAAATGTGAGAATGTTGTCATCTTTTATAGCTACCTAAGTGCAAACTGAAGCTTCCTGAATTAGCCTTACTTACTCCATGAACGTTCCTCCTACTTTGTTTGGTTGGTTACTCGTTTCAGTACTGAGTAGGTAATAGTCATCGAGATCTTTTCACAAATATAGAGACCTTGTTTCAAGTTCAACAGTGTACACCTTACATGGTACCCATGGGGTATCTTATGTTCATCGAGACACGACTATACGGTGCAACAATGTGCTCGATTCTGTCATATAGATGAGATAAAACAGTATTTTTATCAGCAGTATTTTATCATTTGGGCCTTTTTAAGACCTATTCATGTATCGTGTGACGATCTGATAAAAAATATTGCCGAAAAGCTTGTAGCTGCGCATAAGAAAAGTAAATTGATGCATAAAAATTCGAATTTATTTTGCCTTCGAATGGTTGAATTATGTATCATGCATTCCAAGTTTTAATTGCCCTGAAGGCAGTTAGTATACTGGTGAGGTTGAAAAAGTTTGCAAGTAATTTGAACTGGGAATGTTGACATTTCATGAAATTCTTGATTTTTTTGTGATGCGTTTAGTAAATGGTAAGCATCGGAACAACGCGATAATAAAATCGATGAATAGAAAATGTAGGGAATATAACTCAGAATTACTGCAAACTTCTAATGTTTCTGTCTTTGTTCTATTCTAAACTCAGCACAAATAAATTTCCTTCTGTCTTTTGTCTCCGTATCCACAGCAAACGGTTATTGTTGTGGATGGGTAGGAGTACTTGGAACTATCGAGTCGAGAGAAAAAATAATTCTGTAAATAACGAGTTTTATTCTCTGTTGGGTTCCACACTTCACCCCTTAAAATTGTATCATTCTACCATGATTATAAACTATTAATCATCATCAAAATTAACGTAGGATTAACCTTTGTGGAAGGTTATACGTCCAGAAATCCATAAAATTAATATTCTTCTTGTAGACTAATGGATTTAGCGACATTATGATGCTTTGCGTTCATTAAAATCATGCTTTTTTTCTACATAGGGTCTACGTACCCTTGAGCTCTGCGTGGACAATATGCAGCCTGATTTTCTTCATGACCATTTGTATCAAGTTCGGGGTGACATGTTATTGGCGCTGTTCAATTCACTTCATTCGCCAAGTGAATATGTTCAAAAAATGTCATTCAAGGTTGGCTAATATTTTGAATATATATATATATATGCATGCTACATACGCAAGTAATTTCAGTGATATGTTGTTTTGTAGCTATCAAAAACAAGTCTCATGAAAAGACAACAATTTGAAAGGATACAATCAAATTTATGATAGTTTGAGTTGAAATGAACACAAGAACCAAAGAATTTTCGTGAACTGACACGGTTTCCGTAGCAATAGTCATTCTATTCTACACAACATTTGTGATACAGTATGGCATGATCAGCGTGTAATACTTCAATCAACAAACATGCTTCTTTTACAATATTTTCGAAGATTTAACTATCGAATCTAAATATTGTTAAGAATAACAGTATTATAAGCAGTTAAATGTAATGTAAGAGTAAAACTTGGGCACTGTGATGGAGTGTAGCTGCACATAGTCGAAAAAAGTCGAAATGATCCAAGCAACTACGTGCAGTGGGCAATGAGCCACACATTATGCGAGGCCTAGTGATACTATCCGTCTGCCGAAACATCGATAGATAGTGTGGGATTTGACTCATTGGTTGAAATTCATCTACCGAAACCAACGAGCCACGGCTGCCATCTAGCACAAAGTGACAGTATTGTTTACTAGATGGTGTTTCTGGGAGTGTTTATTGATTATAATCATGTTAAAGTAACCCCACGACTTTCAAACTTAGTTTTACCAGTCCAGCAGTTCTTCATTGTTTCATTTTAGTAGTAGGAAAGTTTTTCCAAATGTTCCGACAAAGCCAAATCAGTTGTTTTAAAAAAATTGAAAAGTACCCAAACTAAGAAGTTTACAAATGAACGAAGCCACGATTGAGACACCATGGGCTATCAATCGAAAAAAGTTTGATCAGTATCTGAGAAAGGCTAAACTTCAAAGTAGCATTAGCTGGATTTAGACCTGAAGATTCCCTACCTAACATCGAAGTAGCATTAAACTCAGTCGACAAGTTAACTGCTGATCAGTCCTGTGCCATTATATGGACTTACACTAAAATACCAATAGAAACGGTGCAAACGTTAACGATACCAGAAATTTTGGCGAAGAAATTTAAGGAATGATAATGGTATACTGTTGAGCCTGTTTGGTTTAATTTGCTGCATAAAGGCAATAACCCAAGATTCATAAATATGGTTTTCCTGTTGGGTTGATAGTTGATTTTGGAAACACATCAGCATATAAGTTATAAGGATATTTAGCTTCAGTATTATTTCTTATCAGAGGCCATTTTCATCCAACGTGGCGGTTTCTCTGAATTTCGTTACGAACTTACAAAGCGTTAAATTAAAAATATTTTCTGAATGTGCGAAAGCAAATAATACATTTTGAGGGCGTATTTGAATGATTAAAACTTCGAAAAGAGTAATTGGATACATTGTATTGGATGAAAACATTTTGGTTACCCCATGGTTTAAGCAGGTCACTTGTTGCATCTTGACTCTTTCATGTTTGTTGTCAGAAGGAAAAGTTATATAAAAGTAAGTACTGAGGACATAGTGAGCAAACAAAGCAGTCCATATTACTGCATGAATTCTATTCTTACGGCTCGTTTGAAGCTCGCACTTATAAACATTGTTGTACCAAGATACACATGCATTTCAGCACAATTGACTTAGCAACACGGTGCCTCACTGATAAACTACTTTGTATATGTTGCTAGCACTAAACAAGTGTAAAATGTATCCATACCACACTAAGATCTCTCTAATATTCTTTACGTTTTCTTCTTACATGAAGACTTCGTCATAAAAATAGTTGAAAACCGCGCATAAATCTGCTGCACTTCGAGTTGTCATAGGTTTTCATATCACATTTGAGGTTATTACGTAGGGGAGTGCAGACAACAACTGTATCCAGACAGTTTGGATGTATGTTACCTTCACAAATATCAGTTTTTTGCGATAACTTGGAGCTATGGATCATCTTTTTAGACATGACGTAACCAAACAGTTGGGTATGGTTTCGAATGTTCTTCTGAGGTTTAAACCACCAAGCACTTTCAATGAACTGCAGATATCAGATGTTACTCATAACAGCTCCAAAATAAGTACGTAGTTGCTGATGGTTTACACCGTCATGATGCCACTTTTTTGGCTTTTAATTATATAAGTCGCACTAATCAGCTTCCAAATCTTCTTTTTTATTTTGAATTAGGTTCTCGGAAAATTAGGTCGCTTCAATCGCACTAATCTACTCGAAACGCAGCGACTGCGTCTGAGCTCAACAAAGGGTGAGGCAGGTCCACAATTACGCTTCCACTTGAATGAATTTCGTAACCAACCGATTGACGTACCTGTTCGATGTCTTGTTGATGCTGCTGTGGAAGTATTGCAGGTTAGATGTCATTACTGTTTTCTTCTCACAGTCTTTCTCAAAATTTGAAATATGACCAAAATGTTTAGTATGTGTACAGTTATCTTCCTACTTGAATATTTGGGTCTATTTTCCCACTAGCTGTGCATCTTATAGGTACATATAATTTTACTGTGAATTTACTACTTTTGGTGGCTCACAGTCTACCCTCGGAAGGAACATTCTTGTTTCTCCTCCGTATTGTATTTTTCCCTAGGTAGTGGCGGTGGTTGGATGACAGAATAAGCTGTTGAATTCACAATGTATTTACTTCACTATAGCTTATTATATAGATGATTAGTTTTTGATTTCTTCCCATTCTATCATCTAGGACTCATCATCTGATGAACCCAGTAAGCTTCGCTCATGGGAATTCCTTCAATCAGTATGTGTCGCCGCCTTGAATTTGAATCATTCTCAACTGTCATCGCTGTCTGTAGAGGATTTATACAGTTATTTTTTTAACGATACAGGAGTAAATACTCAGATATTGCAATATATCGATGATATATATCTTGCTTCTTGCTGTGAAACTCTTGGTGTCCAACTTATTGGTTCAAGTTGTTGTGTAGGTGATGGTAAGTATTTCTATTTAAGATTTAGATAAATTATGAGTTAAACTGACATTTTATAGCGCTCCGTTGGATTAGAGTTTAGTATTTTGTAGAATCTAAAGTCACGCCAGTTCTACCACATCTCTTTGGACATAGTCGCTTTATAGTGCAGTGATGTCGAACACTGAACAACGAAGCACCCTGTTAACCTTGCTTAAGAAAGAAAGCGTTCATAGAATGAAGTAATTTATTAACTTAATCTCATTATTTCAGTGCAGAGTATTTTGCTGCAGAAACATGATTCACACATGCCAAAAAAAAATCAGCTGGGGAATAAACAAGTCGATGGTTAGGGTATATCTGTTGTCATTCTCTTATTAGGATGTCGACGATTTCAATAAAATAACGAATTGAATATCTGCGCCGGTAAACCCCAGCTTTATTGTTTAGAAAATTTGTGATGGTAATGAACAACTACGGCTAAAATCATGGTTTATGATAGAAGCACTTTCTAAACTGACTCATTAAATCAACTCATGGAATTAAGCTTTATAGTGAAAGTCACCTATAATTCTATCTTATGCCCTGAACAATGCCTTATGGTCCGAGAAAAATGATATCAGTAACACAGACCAAAGTTATGTCAGAGATTGAGATCAAATCAACTTATGACCTGCCATTTCCGTTTAACATTTCGGTTCGCTACACCTCACATCAGTAAATCAAGGTGGAATGCTCCAGTAGCGATAGCGACTACTTTGACGTGGCTGCCAAACCAACATGCCATAATGACCCAGATAGCTGTTCTAAAGGGGCAGGTGGTGACATTTTTTCCTGGAGGCTAAAATAATACCAGAAAGGTCTGTTGGATATTGGTAAGACGATAAGCAGTCAAGAAGTATGGTTAGTGACTAGTGTTCGTGTGTCTGTGTTCCAGAACCTTTTGTAGGGTAAACTTCTAGTTGATACTTACACAACCATGTCTAAAACCTGTTTGGTTTCCTCAGATTTACTGTTCCTGAGCTTCATTTAGCCATCTAATAATTATCGAACCAAGAATCTTGGACTCCGCTTGTCAAATTGATTGCACAGTGGGTTTCATAGGAGGGACAGTCAGTGAATGCAACTAGTCGGGGGATGGGGGGTGGGAAACATATCTGATATTCATATGCTCGCTAACAGATATCTTGTAATAATTAGCCCCATCAGTGTCTTCCCCCATTCCTCGTTTCAAGCTATCTACAATCTTCTTAACTTCTGCAACAGTTTGACTGTCTATCTCATTGCTCCATTCAAGATCCCACTGCATCATAGGCAGCGGAGTAGTAACTGGAGTTTCCTCAAAGTGTACCATCCGACCTTTCAGTCGAATAGTGTAAGTTTGTTATTCTGCTGTAAAATTACAGTTGTATTGGACTTATTAGTGGTTACAGCATCAGGTAGAATTCGACCATTTATACTAACTGAAGTTTCGATATCGGCAATGTTTGTGCATAAGGTGCAAGAAAAGTGCCTATCGCTTTCATTCGGTTGTTGACTTTATTGAGAGACTATTGATTTTCACGTTGACATTTGTTCAGGAATCTGACAATTGGGTCTGGCAAATAATTTAGAGATGACGGCATGTGTAAGAGGAATAACGAGTATTAACTGGCGTATCTGTTAACTTTAATGAGTTGACGGAAATACTAGCATCTATGGAAACATTTCAATTTTTGTTTCTACCTAATCATTGTAACAGTATGTGTTCGTACTTTTAATTTTTTTCCCACCTCTGGCAGCATTTATATTTGTCAGTATCTTACAATTTGACTTTGTCGCAGTATTCAAAAATATACACATTTTTGTGGTTAAAGGTAATTAAACGGCATTTTATCATTAAATCACAAACGTTGTCAGACGATATATATAACTGGGAAAGATTTTAGCCTTTACCAACTATACATTCCTAACATTTTGAAAGACCCCAACCACATAGTTTCCATCTTATATTACACAGATGAATACTCGTAAATTACATTACCTAACATTTGCTGAATATGTGGTAAAGCAGATTATTGCTCAGTAAGTAGAGATCTAGATGAGTAATTGTTTTTTTTAAATACGTTAGTTTTATCTATACTTAGCGTTTCCGTATATTCTTTTCTTTTTCCTTTACATTGCATTTCAGATTTATATCAGCATGTAATAGTGATGGCTATATCTGGATTATTTTTGGCCGGTTTAAGCAAGAACTTACGTAACACTTATGAAGACTTCATCACATTTCTTGTTAGACATACTACCATCCTTTCAATAATACAACAGTTTACTCCTGTTCATTCGAAAAATCATCATTTCCCTGCCTCACAGCTAGAAACACCATTTGAGTGTAAAACACCGTATAAGGTTGACACTACTACCGGAATACATTCTTCAAACGGGCTCAATTTTTCGTGTAACATGTCTGGTGATTTTCACTTGGGATCAGTAAGTTTTTCCTGTTCATATCGGCAGTCATATGGATTCACTAAAGTATATAAAGTGAAGATATCCTGGGTTGTAAATCCTCATTATTTTAAAATGGAAAAAATTGTGATACTGTTGCCTCAAGTTAGAAATTCACAATTGGATTTTTAAGGAAGACATTGCATGGTCACTCTCCCAAATGATGTTTTGACCATATTTACCGCACTAAAACGTTGAACGCAAATTAAATATACTGATATTTGTCATCCTCTTTTACAGCTAAATGTCAATAAGTTTTACTTTACCAGATAAAGGTTTATCGGTGGATCACAAAATTTAATGATTATCGGTCCTACGGTGTTGGGATCAAATGTTTTGATCAGTAAGAATCACTACTTAAAAGCTGCGTAGGTTATTTAAATATTCTTTGTCGAATTAGAATAGACTTTAAGGAATTTCGGACGTATGAAGTTTTAAGTGAATCGATTAATTTCAACACTTTTTTGTGACCTACTTCTCTCTACTTAGATAAATGACAGACTAAAAGCTGTATGAAATATAGTATTGACTGAAGTGCGTTGTTCTAGATCACTCACACTTATCAGTAGCGCTGGCTAACCAGATCAAGGTGATTTTGAACTCCGGACGGCCGTTTCGCTCGTTCGGGGCCGAGCTTATCAATAGTGTACCGGGACTGGTTCAGTGAGTCGAGTCGTTCAAACCATTTGAATTCTGGCTAGCTACTTAAGCGAGCTGGTTCCTATTTACTTATATTATTTTATACAGTAGTAGAGACGATAGATACAGCGAGTAATATTAACAAACCCGAATGATGTAGTAAAAAGGAATTCAGGTTTTGTAGAGTAGTAGGTAGTTAATAATTGTTTACATGGTACTTCGCAGATATTAAAAGTGGTCCACTTCCCATAATCACAACACAGGCTCATACATTTATTACAAAGTGCTGTCAGTGGTATAATCGATTTTAGTTGCAGCAGTCATTTTACATAATTAAGCTTATTCTACGACTTTATTACCTGTAGTGAAAATAACATATTCTACTTCATTTTACGTTGCCACTTGTTATTGTTCTCCTGGAGAATAGATTGCCAATACTTGAGTTCAAAAATGTTCATATATCCAAAGGTCTTTGCACTTCGTTATTGTATGGCCATGACGATCATTTTGTGAATAATATAAAAAAGTTGATATCGTGCTAACAAACATTACTTTTGGCGTTGGTTTCATTAGTATCTACAAAACCCAATAACGAGAGCTCATAAGAAATCGGCTTATTCGCAGTCCATAACTAATTGTAATAAATTTCGTTTTATAGCGTTTAGATCAACACATTTTAGTTAAATATTAAACCCAATAATCTAAAATTCCTCTTCACTATTATAAGGGAATTTGCTTTGTGAAAAATGCATTTTCGGAGATTTAATTTCAATCCTACTCGTAGTTTATTTGCACTCTTGGCATATTAAACTGGATTACTTGTAGTCATTGTCCCATTGTGGATTTGGTTTGTTTCCTTACAGTTGGATTTATTCAGTATAAGTCAAGAACCTACAAATCGAGTTCCGCAGACATTGAATGACAAATTATCTCTAAACAGTTTTTCTTCATACTTGAATCCAAATCTAATCATTGATTCTATTATGTTTGTTATGGGTCATGAAGCGAAGCAACTTACTCGAAATATGTGTGTACTACTTGAAATTATACACAATACAGCATTCACCTTACTATCGGCAGTTACTGTCGCATCTCAAGAAAACCCTGGAGATAGTTTCGCTTCGGATCATATTAAGAAAGCTGTTGCTAATCTTCATATTTTCAGACATATTGGGCATGTTATCACTGACATGTTATACCATACAGCTTGGTAAGCTGATTGCCCTATTCTTTATCTTTTTAGTGTATTGATTTTACTGAAGTGCATTTTTTACGGTTTTGATTATGAATGTAAACTTGCCTATGGAATTCATTATCTGTAATGCGTAAATAATCCGGTGTTCTGAACACTTACTAGGATATCCTTTTTATGACTTATGATTTCATGCTTATAAGAAAGTGCTAGCTTGATATTCTAATCTTGAACTGATTGGTTAGTAAATCACCTTCAGTTAATTTTGATCTGCAAAGAGGAACTGCTGAATCGTGTTAATTTTATGCTAAGTATTCTACATGCCAGCAGTTGTTTTATTCTCTGTACAATGATAAGTTAGCAGTTGTTCACCTACCTGTTTTGATATTTGTTCATTCTAAGGGGTTCAGAATTGCTGTGACTTCAGCAGAAAAAGTTGGCAGTTTGTTGCTTTAGTTATCGTCAGTCAGCTACATTGTATTCTAGTGTATATCAGTCGGTAAGCAGTCTCACTGTTCATGCCAGCGTTCAATATGCAACTACTGTCTGCTTTTTTGAAAATCCTTTACCTTTAACCTAATTTTCGAATGGTTGTACAGTTTATTTTCATATGTTAGTACATTTGACGTGTTTGGGAACATGCATGTTCTCGCACCTCAAATACACACACATGTGCATAGAAGCAGCTCACTTATGTGAAAGTTAATTAACGTTGATATCATTCGATAGCTAAAGTTGACTTTAGTGAATAGACAAATGACAGAAAGTCAGATCTTTAAACCATTGAGTAATTACTTTTCTCTTTTTGGAACTATTAGAGATGGTCCATTATTCTAGTATGGAATGCAATGTATTGAACGCAACATTTAAAACTCTATTGTTCGTGCGAACTATATTGTCGACTTATACATAATAAAAAACGATATAAATTGTAGAAGACACTCAGTCGTTGTATTGAAATTTATTTAACTCAGTAATTGTGAGTTCGAGTTAATGTTAAAATTCATATGGCGACCACTCTATTTATCATTTCTTTTAAAGAATCTCTGAAGCCTGCTATATGTCTTTTGTTCAATGCTAATATCTGAAAATCGGAGTCTACCATCATACGTTTCATTATGGATTCACCGTCGTTATGTGTATTAGTGTAGCATTCGAACATATGGGATGGGTGGTACAAGTTGTCGCATGCTACCTTAACGTGGTGGTCGGGCTTACATATCACAATGACCCAATGAGCTATGCTGGTGGAACGCTTGTTCCCTCAAGGTCCTACCATACCAGAAAGGTCTGTTGGATAGTGGTTAGACGAAAAGCAGTTACCGTTATAGTGTAAATTGCTACACTATGATGGGGGTCTGAGGGCGAAGTCCTACTGCTGCTAGCTGGATGGGGTGTGACAGCAGTAAGGTGTTTCCCTTGGATGACCAACAGTGCCATACTGATGCTGGAAGGGGGGGGTTTGAAAAGGTCGGCCCCAAAAATAACACACTCCACCATACCCCATGGTCTACCGGACAGGCGGTGTTGGTTCATTTGTCGTTTCTTTTCGACCATCCGACCCCAAAAATACAAAAGTTCAAAATAATCATATTCAAAAAGCTTCGTGTGACAGGCCTCAAGCAGATGTCCAATGGGCTCTGCGGTCACACAAATCTCTTTCAGGTACCTTATGAAGAAATAGCCTTCCACGGTGTGGGCAGCCGGGAAGTGTCAACTGCCCTCACAAATCTGTCAGCACTCAAGTTTCTTCTGACTGCTATCCATCTCCTCCATCATTACCTTCTAATCTTCCTTCACGTCTCTCAATTAACGATGCTGCATCATCTTCAATTTCTCCTACCTCTGCAGCCTTCGACAACGATCTGAGTCCACAGAACAGCATCACTGGTCTCCTTAAACCACGCTCCAAATTACATATTGGAGCCTTCAATGTCCGCACCCTCCATCAAATTGGTCAACAGGCTTTGTTGGCAGACTTCGTTAGCAAAGACTGTAGCAACTCGGGCAACTCGTTGGCAGGCTTCGTTAGCAAAGACTGTAGCAACTCGGGCCATGGATGTGTGCTGTGTTTGTGAGACACGCATACAGGACCCAAGTGTGGTTATTTACCTGGCCAATCTGGTGAATCCGCAAAATTCACCCTTCGAGTTTCTGGAGATTCGATAGCTAGCTCTCGTGGTCTTGCAGGTGTAGGTATAGCATTAAGCACTAGGGCAGAAAACTCACTACTAGACTGGATCCCAGTTGATAGTCGCCTCTGCGCTATGAGGCTGAACGGCACAGTGAGAACTAAAAGGAATAGTGAGACTCGCCGTTGTCTCTTTGTAATCTCTGCTTACGCACCCACTGACTGTAGCTTGGATGAAGTGAAGGACGAGTTCTACCGTAAACTGTCTAACCTCCTCTCGAAAGCCAAACGTTCGGACGTGGTGGTTGTTGCAGGTGACCTCAATGCACAGGTGGTTAGACTGAGTGAGGCAGAAAGGCACTTAGGTGGCACTTTCGGAATCCCAGCTGAACGTACAGATAACGGTGATCGCCTATTACAACTATGCTCAGATAACCGCCTATTTTTAGCCAGCACAAATTTCAGACATAAAGAAAGGCACTGTCTGACCTGGCGTCCACCGAGCTCAACTCAGCGATGGACACAGATAGACCACATTGCTATTAGTCATCGCTGGAGAGGATCGGTGGAAGACTGCCGCTCCTTCTGGAGTACGTGTTTGGACAGCGATCATGCGTTGGTCCGAGCACGTATATGCCTGCGTCTCAATGGACGTAGAAAAAATTTGGCAACAAAACCACTACGAGTGCTGCTGGACAACGAAAACACCAAAGCCGTGTTCAGTGAGAAGTTGGCTAGGCAGTTATCGGAACAAAGACTATCACTCATCCAGAAGAAGCTTGGTGCCATCTCCAGTCTGCTATAAAAACAGCACTGAAGACCGTAGCCGACTCCGAAATAGTGGGTAAAAAGAGACAGTGGATATCATCAGCTTCTTCCGAACTAATGCATGCACGTGAACGCATCTCTGACTGCAGGCTCTGAGTACAATGAAGGGCGAGCACAACTAGAAAGTAGATTGAGAAGAAGTCTAAGCAACGACCACGAAGAGTGGTGGTCAGCAAATCCTAAATAGATGGAAAAGGCGGTGGTGGTTGGTGGTTATTTAGACTTATTAAGGAGACTGGGGGAAAAGGTCAACAACAGTTAGTGAGGCTGTAGTGGAGAAGGACGGATCTGCGATTCGCTCGTAGAGGAGATGACTGGAACGATGGGCAGAACACTTTGAGGAGCATTTTAACTGTCCTCCAGCCACCATCACGTTGCCCGCTATCCAGTGGGATCCTGAATGGAACATTGAGATAGGCCCTCCCCCCAAGGCTAGGAGGAGTTGCGAAGCAGTAGGTAAGGTGAGACGAGGAAGGGCGGTAGGACCAGATGAACTAACTCCTGAGGTATACAAGGATGGTGGTAAGTTGCTGTTAGTCAGGTTAACGTAAGTGTTAAGCAGTATATGGGAATCAAATACGATCCCCTCCGACTGGTCTAAGTCACTCATCATCCCAGTCTTCAAGAAAGGCGAGAAGTCCTCTTGTGATAACCACAGAGGAATCAGCCTGACAAACATAGTGTCTAAGATCCTAAGTTCTATAATTCTCCGACGCCTGAGTGGAGCTCGGGAACAGCAAGCCCGAGAAAACCAGGCAGGCTTTAGACCTGGCCGTGGATGTATCGACCAAATATTCACACTGCGCCAGGTCCTGGAACATAGGCATGCTTACAGACGCCCGACAATAGCTGTATTTCTCGACCTGAAGGCGGCATTTGACTCCGTTGATCGAGAAGTCTTATGGCAGTGTCTGTCACTGAAAGGCGTGCCTAGTAAGTACATCACCTTATTGAAAGCTCTCTACTCGAACACTTGTGGGCATGTTAGAGCCTATGGTGAGTTGTCCAGGGAGCTATACTCATCAAGTGGTGTCCGTCAAGGATGCCCACTATCCCCATTCTTATTTAATTTTATCATAGATATTCTTATGGAGGTTTCCCTCTCGTCACCTAATTACAAAGACGTTGACCGGATCACAGGTGAATTTTCCTTAGATCTAGAATATGCAGATGACATAGTCCTGTTAGGTGAAGACGCTGACAAGATGCAGAGTCTTCTGAACACTTTGAGTGGGAATTTGAGAATGTTTGGGATGCGATTTTCACCACCCAAATGCAAATTTTTGCTCCAGGACTGGTCTTCAGCGGTACCGCGGTTAACAATAGAGAGTGAAGTGGTTGAGTGTGTTGACCACTTCACTTACCTGGGAAGTAGGATCAACCTGGTGGGTTAGTTGCCGATGAGATTTCTGCACGGATACAAAAGGCTCGATTGGCTTTTGCCAATTTGCGCCACCTATGGCGCCGCCGTGATATTCGTTTGTCTATTAAGGGTCGCGTGTACTGCACAGCAGTCCGCTCTGTTCTACTGTATGGCTGTGAAACATGGCCATTGAAAGTGGAAGACATGAGAAGGTTCAGGTGTTTGACCACCGTTGCCTTCGTAGTATAGGACGTATTCCGTGGTGTCACCATGTGAGTAATGCAGAAGTTAGGTGTAGAGTTTTAGGGAGAAGAGGTAAGTCAGTCGACGAGGTTGTGAACCTTCATCGACTGAGATGGTTGGGACACGTACTACGTATGCCTAGTCACCGATTGCCTCGTCACACAATGTTGGCTGAGGTGGGTCCAGGCTGGAAAAAGGCCCGAGGTGGCCAGACTAAAACATGGCACCAATGTATGAAGTCTCTGACTGTTGGTTTAAGCCATGTAGGACGATGCAGACTAGGTGGTTGGGGTCCACGGGACAAGAGGAACCAGTGGTTGGAGACCCTAGGTGATATGGCTCAGAACCGAAGTCAGTGGCGCAGATGTATACACACATTATCCTCATCTTAACAACGCTATACCGAATCTCACTATTTTGTCACTCCTCTTTCCTTTCTTCTCGTACTTTATATTTCTTTTGACTGCATTCACTTATCTTCATCCTTCACCTCACTACCTTTCTACTTGATGAACTGACGTGAGGTGTGACAACTCGTACCGTTACGCAGTAATGTCTGGTCCTATGTTGATAACGATTGATGAACACGTCATCTGGAGTAATAATTTGTTTCTCCGGCTTCATATTCCAGCTTCTTTGGCTCAGCATATACGACGATTGTATCCATCAGTACGGGGCTCAGAGAACTGTCATAGCTACCTGATCAATTTGACATTTTCTTATCCTTAGGCTTGTTGGCGAAGAAAAGGTTCCATTGTTCTTCCGAAACTTTCTATGTTAAAATAACCATAAATGTTAAACTTAAACATTTCGTTCGTAGGTGCCTTTGTACTCCATCTCATTGATCAGCTTACAACCTCGCCTGTCTTTTCTACCATTTCAGGTACGTAAAATGGGGTGCTTGTGCTGCCATACTTTGTCTCGCCCGTTTCATCCATCCTTCTTGGTTCTCTTCAAATCTCATTAGTTTGCTACGTGGTTTGCTTTATTGCATTAATAGCCTATCGAATCAAATGAATCTGGGTGCACTTGCAATGGCTCGAGACTGTGCACGCATAATTATTAGAACTGTTTTCATGGGCTTTAAAGACACAATTGAAATCAACCAGTCTTTGAACACAACTACTGTTGATGATGAAGATGCGAAATCAAGCAAATCTCCTACATCATATAATCGTAAACACTCTTCTGGAAATCCACAGCGTCGTTCTGCTCTAGTTAGACGTGGTCGTAGTGCAGGTAGCGTAGCTGTCGGTGAATTAGACATGCCAGAATTATCTCCCAATGAATTATTAAATAGTGTTGATGAAACAAAAGAAACGAAAACGAAAGATAGTGAAATGATTTCTGGCTCCAAATACTCTTCTTCTCTGGTAAGGAAAGCTTTAGATATAGCATACCAAAAGGTTGTTGTAAAGATCTCTGTTTGATTTATAATATGACAAATGACGAAGTATTTTCTTCGTTTTATATATGTTGTACAATAGTTTGTCGAAGGATACTGATTAACCCACGTAGATTTTTTGATAAGCTGAATAGTTTCCCATATACCTTTTCTGTAGCTACATAATTCTACGTCCCATAAGAAAGTTAAGGCTGGTAGAGTATTTATAACTTTTTACTGTTCTGTTAACTAGAATCACTTACTTTTGTGCCTCAACCTTAAACCATGTTTATGTAAACACCATGCCCTGATGATATAGGTTTCAAGTTGTTCAGCAAACGTTTCGGTTCACAGTGATATAGTAACACTAATTCTATGTTTGTTTGACTTCCTAATACATTTTAATGATATCACACTTTCATGTTTGAGCACTTAGCATACGATTTCTGTTCTGAAATTGAACATGTCATGGACTGTGTCATTTATATTTCTTTTATTGTTCTCATTCTAGTCGCTTTTATTAGATACGGTCATTGTGGAGTTATTGGATTCTCTTCTAAGCGAAAACGATTCTGTTCGAGCTGAAGCACGCTGCCTTCTAAGATTGCTTGGTTATACAGTTGGGCAACCCTTGTGTAAACTCCTAGCATCATATTGGCATAAACGAATTGGACATATTTTACCCCCAAAAGCATCCAGCCGTTTGTTGGATTTACCCATTTCAACTCAACTAGCTGTTCTGGTATGTATAATTCATTGAGTACCATTTCACTTCAACTTTCACTTCTTATGAAAATGTCTTGATTATGCTCTAAATCCGGTACTATCTGAAAAAACTCACATCTTGTTTTTACAAGTTGATACCCCGTAACTTTTTAACGTCATTTCATTGCTATTTTCAAACTTAATAGCCATTTTTATTAGTCAAGGGCTCATCAAACACCTGTTTACAAGAACACTGTTCTCCCTTAAGTTCCTAGCATTACCATTTGCCAGTTTATGACATAATTTATTTATGCTACTTGTGTGTTCATGATCGGATTGTTCTGATCAGTCACTTTGTTCAACTTTCAGATGAGGGATAAGGAATATACTTTGACTTAAAAAATTCTGGCTTTGTTTGTTCAGTTGTTTCACTAACTTTTCAACCACATCCTATCTGTCTATCTAATTTCTCTTGCCAGCTGTAACTAACCTGTATGATGTAGCAGTACTTTATATTAAGGGATTATTGTTGTAGTAGATAAAGCTGCCACCTTTGATCTTTCAGTAGGAATTGATTATCACTCCACTAGTCGTTTTAACACTCCTGTTTGATAACCATTTATCTTATTCTGAAACCTTTAGGTAACCTTCATTTGATTAATGTGGGTCAAATGTATCAAATCGTATATCAAAGTAGCAGTTCGACTACCTGGCCTTTAACGTAGCTAACTGGACATTAATGTGATTTTCACTATCTGCATATAACAGTATGCAACATTTATCTTTTTATTTATGCAAAAACTAGAATTAAAGCTTTACTTGTTATAACTAGTTATAGGCTTCATTCCTGAAACTTTTCTTGCTAATCTCAGTCTTCGTATTTTATTTGATTTGTCAATTTTCACAGCAGGTATGCTGATATTTTTTAGTGAAAAAGATCTAAATTGAAATTCAAACTTGAAATACCTAGTGCGTTGATGACTTGAACAGATTATGCTAAAGTATTTTTTTTGATTGTATTGTTTATATTTTTATCCATAGGAAACAAATTACTTTTTTGGTCAAACAGAAAAGTCAAAGTCCTCAAACAAGACTTCGGATAGTTTTAAACTCTTTGATTTTGATATCGATAGTAATGATGATGGAGTGGGTCTTCTTCGTTATGATCTTTCTAAACGAGACGATTGTGTCTTTCTATCAGATGTACGCTCATTACTTACTCAATGTGAATTGAATATTGATTCACTTGGTGCTACTATGAATACCATCACTACTAGTACCACTCCTGCTACCGGTAGCAATAGTAGTAGTTCTGCAGGGGGTGGAAATAATTCCACTGCAAATTTAGATCACGATAAATCTCAGTCAAGTGGAACTTATCCATATTCTAGATATGCATCGTCTAACTCTAAGAATCCAGTACCATTTTCTAGTTCTTGTCAAAGATTTATCAATTTACGTGTAGCAGCTTGTCAGGTCTTGTCTGTCACTTGGTATTTGGATGCACAGAAGGCGCGAAATTTAACAGCACTATTCAAAGGTTAGTGGGAGCATGGTTCTTTTACCTGATGAAGTTTATTATTATTATTATTATTATCCATACAATGTACGACATTTATGCATGTGCGTCTACTGTTTAATGTTTTTCTGTGCAAAACTTCGTGAAGAAGGAACATATAAGAGGCAATCACAACATTTACTTCCTTTTAACTCATCTTGCTTAATGGAATTTGTATTGATAAACAATGTATCGATCATGTTACTTTCATTGTCTCTATTTTCAGAGTTTATGAAACTTAGTTCACTTCTCATTTCTACGCAGTCAGTAGGTGTGATTGAAATGTCATTGCTTTCCTGAAGTTTTCAAATATATAGCCAACAAATTTACGTCGCTGTTAGCATCTGAATGAGATATTCACCTTCTTGAATTATTATGTTTCAACAAAAGACTAACTGAATGATAAAATCAACGTAGAACCCGCACACAGGTGCATCGGCTCAAGTTGCCATACCTCATAGTAGTACATAAAGAACAGGTAGGTAGAAAAAAAGTGATATCAAAGCAAGTGAAGTAGTATAAGAGAATAAACAACCTCAAGATAACGGTTGATGCAAATATCCAAGCTTTAGAAGATAGCAAGGAGTGAATACACCTCTGCCATTGTGACCGATTTTCGAACATGTCACCAAGAGTCCTCAACCACTGATTCCTTTCGTTTCGAGGACCCACTCAGGCAGTCTGCATCACCTCACACGACTCAGACCAACAGGGACTGAGTCCTATAAACTGTGGGAGCTGTATATTTAATTGATCGTGTACTCGATTCTCATCATTTATGTGGCATGAGAAATTTAACTTTTCAGTCAATTCTTTCTATTCTTTTAAACCGTTAATAAAACAGTAAAAACAAGTAATAAAATACTCTGCTACCTTGATCACAGTTATCTGAAGTGCATTTCTACTGATATTTGTATCATCTCCAGACAGTGGAAACGATTGTTTAGGTAAATATAATCTAACTCATTTTATTTATCTAAATGTAAGACAATCGTTTACATTTTTGGTAGATAACAGCAGTTTCATCAGATCTAAATTTTAGATATTCGTGATCAAAATGTTCTAACATTTGTTGTTTTTCAGTTTAATTACGTAGTCTTGAGGCTTTGTATACTAATGAAGAGATCACACTTTAGGATGAATTACCACCACCGGGACTGCATAACATTCTTTTTATTTGAGTGAGTTAGGAAAACAGCTGAGATTCGCAAAACTTAAATACGACATTACTTAGTGAAATCACAGGTGACCGGTTTAAGACACGTAGAGAAATGTAAGCTTCGCAGCTGAAATTCCTGAAATATTAGGAGTCGAGAGTGTTAACGCTCAGGGAACGGGACTCGAACCCGATGGCGATGCTGGAAACACATTGATATGCTATTTTTCTATGAACCTTGAATATCTTACTGATCTTAATTTACTTGTTGCCTGATCATTTGTGTCATTCTCTTCCTATACTTTTATGTCACATTGCCAATTTTTATTTATGTAGTATCGTTAAGCTTTTCAACTCATAGTCATGCACATTTGTGCAGAGCTTTCATTTTTCTTGTCACCATCTGTTTTTATCAATATGGTTGTCAATTTACATGGGCCTACTCTTAGTCGCTTTATCATTTCTTCCTCTAAGCTTTCAAAGCATTCACTCTACGTTATTCATTCCTTCTGTTATAGGAATGTCTTGTAAAAATGAATATATTCATGAAGCAGCTTTCTTATCTCTCCGAGAGTTTATAAGTAAAACATCTATCGACATTGAATTGAGACATGCCAATATGAAACAGATTGTACAGAATGTTCGTCAAAGTTCAATTCGGTGTATTCATACGATACGGCAATTAGCCTATTGTGCTCAGTTGTTTCCGAGTACTCTTAGTGAACGTCTGTGTGATGCAATATATGTACGTCATTAATTATGATATATTACTGTTTGTACTTATATTTGGCTTTCATTTCGTTTGTTTTACATGTAACCTTTTCAAATATAAATTTTATCTACAATACTTCAAATAATCTAATGGTATGCTCTGTTTTAAGTATCTAAGTGTGTTCGATGGTTAAAAGATAGACTAAATAAAGTCTCGAATCCTGAATCGATTCTGCATTGTTCAGTTCCCTAGTCGAATCTGTCGACTTTGAGGTGTTTCTGATTGCTTACTATCAAAAATATATGGCACTGCACTGTTGAGTGATATTGGCTTGTCGTACACTTCCTAGTCGATAAACTTCGATCAGCATCGATAGCAAGGACAGTAGGTTCTGAAACCAATTTGTCCGTATCAACATCTGCTGAAACTTGCTTCTTGAATCTAAGTCTGGATTGTAATTCCTTATCGCAACCAAAAGCATGTGAACTGAAAATAATGTTATCTACGTATTATTTGTTTTCATTACTTTGTAGTGTAGCCTGTACCTAAGTAATATCATGTTGTGTTGATGCTACTATTATTGTTTCTTCCATTACATATGAAACTTTTATTTTCCGAGTTCTAGATAGGCCTACGTTTAAACAAAGTGGACAGCGGAGCGTTCTGAGTTTTTGCGTTTACCTGACATTTTTAGATCACAAACGAACAACAACTGTTTTAATAGATACGGATTCCATTCTATCTATCCATGTACGTTGATATAAACAGTCGAGTCGTGCCATTATTCAATACAGTTTGACTAGTGGTTCTGTATGTGAATCAGTAGATCGTTACTTGGGATGCAATTATTCATAATAAAGTTATTTACACAGTATTCTTTTCATTATTTCTGTTGATGTCTACAACAGAGTGGCTTCGACTAACCAGTAAGGTTTTCTACTCAGTTCATCAACTAGTATAAATCAGTTTCTTAAATTTGTAGGTTTTTAATTTAACTTTTATCTACTTCTCTTTCCTATGATTTAGTCGCATTTAAACAATACTTTGGGAGCTGCAATTAACAAGCAGAACTCTGCACCAATTTCTCCATTTACTTCCTCTGTAAGTTAAAGATCTCCGTTTATTCTTTCTTGTATGTTTTGCCACCGTATGTGATAATCAGATGTAATAATTAAAATTTAAACTGCAATGTACTATAATGAGATCTGCAAAGAAATGCGTTTGTATATTTATGTGAATATAGTAAAGGACAAAACAATTTAACTCGCTTTATTTGTTAACGGTTTCTTTAACCAGAAAATTTGGAGAAAATAATCGACTATTTTATGACCTATGATAAAGAAAGCAAGGTCAACTAATTGCCCTCAGATTCTGTTGACTTTGAGCGTCTATTAAATATTTTTTACCACCTATTTGTTCATCAAAATCATACTTTAAGTTCTCTATCATCCAGAACAACCCATTCCGAAGAAAATTAAACTGAATCTAATTTAATGTACCGAACTAACATGAATCTAACTTAATTTAAGTGCTGTGTCAGAAAAGAAAGCCACATTTTATTCCATCTGAATGAAGATCACATCATAGTTACCTACCTTTGCCAGCGCTTTTCGATTTCGCAGCAGACTGGAAAGCAGATGACAACACTAGGAAAAAATAGAATCTTTCAGTCTTCGCCAATCTTAGTTGCCTAACAGATATGCCGATTCACACAAACCATGAAACGGAAATGTTATGACAGTCATCCACTGTTTGGTAACGATTCTTATGTATACAGATAACTGTGGCTGCAACCAGTGTGATGTTTAAAGTTTTCAAAACCGATGTGAAAATGAGTTACAGTGTAGAGATTAGAACAAGAAAACCAGTTAGTTCGGATTCGATGTTTATAAAGTAGCAATGAAACTTATATCACTTGTATCGCATTTAAGCAATAAAACTGAAGACATAAAAATTAACAGTAATATAGCTTCGTTCCTACAAGTAAGAGCAAACGGTTGACGAAGTACATTCTTGCTTTCAACGTCCGCCAGGGTAATTTGAATTGATTAGAACACAGGGATAGTTAATGTATAAAAGTAAGTTAGTACCTAAAACTTATTTCTGTTGTGAGTGGGACGATAAACAGTTATGATGCTATTTAATCATCCAGGCCGAAGTAGGTGTGTCAGGATTCAAACCCAGGACAGATTTCTTGGAATTCAAGTTCTTAAGCCAAAGGGTGACATTTTCACTAAGTGCACGTATCTATTTTGTTCAGAAACTAATTGCGATGTAACAATATAATGCAATGTATTTTCTTTAATTCAAGATAGTCTTTGAACAGGATAACGCGCAACTGTACATAAAAATCCATTAGTTCGAGTTGTAAGATTTAACGACTGCACAGAGAATGACAGACGAAGTAGAGAAATTGCTCCTCTTAAAAAACTGTCACTATTGTTCGTCTACTTTTATTCCTACTTTTTTATTTTAGAATCTGGAGTGGTCTACACTGCTGTTGGATTTATTTCATTTGATCCCCCTGGCAACTTCTAAGTACATTTCACTTTTAATTGAGTCTGTGGTGAATGCTGAGCGTAAATTGCATATTGAACCTACAAGTCCTTTGCGTTTACCACTAACTCGCTTCCTGTCCCGTTATCCTGCAGAAACATGTGCTTTGCTACTAACTGGTTCACGATGGCCGTATGATTCATATGCGAACAGAATATTCTTGGTATTGTTTATTTTATTTTTTGAAAATAATAGTGTTGTTTGGTTGCTTTATGAAGTTAACTTGGCTATGCTAATAGTTTTATTAGTCACCGGTTGTGAGCTAGTAGATACTTGACACACTGATACTGTAATTTGAATACCATGATCACTCTGGCTTGGTCATGCCTGTATTCACATGTTTACTTATTCCTCAAAGTTCTGTTACACCGGAAAGTCATCGAGTACTGCTTTTATGAAAATAAGTTTCTGTTGCGATATACGAGTTTTTTATGTGTTAGTTGTTTGCAGTTCTTATTCATCTTTCCGGATAAACTGGCGTGTTATGATAGTAAACCATTTCTTGCTTCAAATGTTTATTTCTTGGGTTCTGTGATTGAACACCATAACCTGAGCTGTATTACTGTTTTATCCGACTGAAGTGTAAATTACTACGGCTGAAGTCTTTGGTCTATTTTCTTATATTAGGGTGTCAAGTACTCATAATTTCCCATAATGTGCGCATCTCCATTAGCTCTCAAAACATTGTAGACTGAAAAGAACCTCCTAATACCGTCGAATTTCACGCATGCAGATTTTCGCTTTTATGGGTACGATATTTAGCGTAATTATAGTAGCAACTTTTGAGCAATGTTCAATCCTGTATTGTTTTTCTGTTTTTTCTTCTTTCATCAACATCATTAGCTCATAGATTTTACTTTTGGTTTTTTGCGCAGGAATAATTCATGCTTGCAATAGAAATACACGAATTTATGAGGCAAAGCATTCTGTTACTAGCTTGGTGATTTTACGTGATTGTATGATATCTTGTTTTAGTTACTTGCTCACCTATTTCTTTATTTAAATATCGGTTTTTTAAGACATTCCACCTTTCTTTTATGTATTTAGTTTGCCCTTGGTTGCCCTCAAGGACTGCCAATAGTGGATTATTTGAAAACAAACTATCATATACTCATAGACCTCATTCAGCCGAATGAAATCGATGATCAAAAAGTAGGTGTATGTGCGTATATTGCATTTAAACACTTCTTATCGATTTCCACTGTAATTTACTTTTGTTACTTACAATACTGACTAACCTTCAAAAAAAGAATACATACTTGCCATCATTTTCTCCCAAATATCGAATGTTCTCTACTTTTTCGCGACTCACTTCAGATAAGCAATGGAAATATGACTGTTTGACCTAAATATTTACTTACAATCTACTAAACCATGTGTCTAAACTCTCCATTTTTGCTTACTTCCATGTAACCCAACACGGCACACATTACCCACAGCTTGGAACTCTAATTCGTGTGGGATGATTTAACCGCATGGTTTATTAAACAAGTTTGCTACAATTTCTAAGCTGTTTGTGTCTCGTTTGCATGCAAACCTATAGATATTCTGAATGATGAAAAAAGCCTTTGATAATAGAATTGACTTTGTCTATTTATAACCCTGCATTAGGTTCAGACAAATTTAAGGCGATCGCTTTCGTTTCCAAATAAGCGCATGATGCAGTTTAACTCATAAACATGAATTTACAGTTCCGAAATTATGAAAGCATCGTAACCTGAATCTACATAGGAAATAAAGTAATCGAAAGTAGCCAAAATTAGTGTTCAGTTATGCATACTGTTTGCATTTACGATACTGGACTCGTTACGTGATAATATGAAGCGATTGCAGGGTTGCTCGCATGTGGTGGAATCACTGTGTGAACAATGTTGAGGTCAGACGAAGGGTACTATGCAAGACGGATAATTTGATTGATGAGGTTGTGAACTTTAGTCGACTGAGACATGTACTACGCATGCTGAGCCACTGCCTTCCCCAACGTGCCATGGTAGGCGAAGTTGAATTAGGTTGAAAGAAGGTTCAGAGTAGTCAGACCAAGACATAACACTTGTCATTGAAGCCTCTTACTGCTTTTCTGAACAGTGTGGGAAGATTTAGATTGTCTGTTTGGGATCCCGGAGATAAAAGGAATCATTGGTTGAGGAGTTTTGGTAACATGTCTGAAAATCGGTCACAATGGTGCAGATGTATTCAGTCTTTGACGTCTTCTGAAGCTTGAATATTCGCAGAAACCATGATCTTCAAATTGTTTCTTCTTGCACACCACTCCATCTACTTTGATATCACTCTTATTCTATCCATCTGTTCTTTATGTACTACTGTGAAGTGTGGCAACTTAAGCCGATGCACCTGTATGTGAGGTTCAACGTTGCTTTTGTAAGTCAGTTGTCTTGTTATGTGTGATTACGATGGCTCTTCGTAGTCGTTTGTGAATGATTACTTACATCCAATTGTAGTGAAAACATAGTGTTTTATTTTAGTGAAACTTACGAACCATCTGCCGTCAATGTAGAGACGTTATTGAACCCATGTAGGCTAGGTGTCATGAATATTGAGTTTAGATTTTATCCAATATCATTAGAGCTCATGAAAATGTGTAGGAGATATTTCGTCTATATTGGGTTAATAATTTCCCACTGTCCTGTTCAAGTACTCGTCAGCTGGATGTGCCTGCCTTCCAGTGAGTGATTTAGTTCTCAACTAGACTAATACCAACAACATCTTGATTAGTTAACGACTTAAATCTCGCCGTAACTCAGAATTTCCCCGCAATTCACTCAACTTCATTGTACGTAAACTTCCTGTTTGATCTCAAAGTTTGTCGCTAAGTTTTGTAATCAAAGAAATGACCTGAAAACGAAATGCAGCTCAACAGCAATTTACAGGATTTCAATTAAGATAGTGAATCAGTTTTATTGGCGCGGATGAATGACAACTGCCTGTTGGTGGTGTGAAATTGCAAAACTCCCACTCAATCTACCAGGGTTTTGCCAACAATGTTGCATTATAAACCCTCACGCAATACTCATCGCTCATTGCGTGGCACTTCGAACTGCATATAGCCGCCGAGTTAAATTCATTCATTTATCTCAAGTTCACAGTTTTAAAAGTGCGAGAGAAACTTCAATTCTCAGAAAAGTGAGTGGGAATTTCGTATGGAAACCGGCGTGAAGTTGTGGCTTATAAATCCAGTCACTGAACTTTCAACCAATGGGTCATGGATTTTAAGTCGGCTCCACCTATGGAGGTTTGGACAGCCAGTTAGGATAGTTAGCCTTCATACAATGGGTTTGGTTCAGTGCTTACTAAATTCTGAACATGCACTTGGTTGTTAAACGTATTTCCATTCGATTTCTGACCTGATCTCATCGAAAGTAGATTAAGGCAGTCATACCGTTAAGATTTTTGGTAAATAAAAAGCTACATAAGTATAAGTCTCTTTACTAATGCAGACATTCTTATCTATAGTAACAACTAATTATCAGTTTCTAGTCACTCGATTACCCTACCAATTACTTACGTATATACGTATTTAAATAATGCTAAAATTTCGATCTCAGGTGCAGATGATCAAAGTTGGACATTATGTTTGCCTCAAGTTGGAACTCTTCTAACTTTTGCCTGCCCTAGACATCTAGCTATTCGTGTAGTCCATACAATTCACCGGTTATCGCCAAATTGGCTAACTATGAACAGTGTCTCTCCAAGTGATGCATGCAAAAACAGTACAAGATTGAAATCGAATCAACTCAATGTTTATGAAACTAGGTATCATCCATTAGTATCATCGCTGCTAGCTTATTGGCGGTCAGATTTGTTCGCTAGACGACAGGCTAACCTAACACTAATAACACTATCCAAGGATGCTGATCAAAATCAAGTATTGGATGAATATGTTGCAGATTTGTTTGAGTCAAGTGGATCTGCTCCATCGAATCCACCACTTAGCAAAGCTGATGTATCTTCGGTTGATAAATTATCTCTCTCGATTGAACAGGAAGATTTACCATATGATCCTGGTTTACTTATATCCTCAGGCACAGCAGATCATACACACTGGGATGAACCCAGACTCTTATTGGACTGCTTTTTAGACTGTTTCAAGTAAGCTTTGGTTTGTTGTCTGTCATATAAATGTGTTTTTACAAATTTTCACATTTGTGATACATGTTTTGAAACTTGCTGATTGAAAATGAGTACATATATTGTGTTACAGAAAGTGTGAAAATGTGAGTAGACTTCCGCATACATATAGCACTTTTATGGGCAGAGAAGTGAATCTCTGTCAGCTAAAACATCGTTAAAATGATTGAACTAACATAACAGCATGGTAAGGAATGATATTCTTTTCAGACAAAAATTTCGTGATTTAGATTCACCATCAAACTGACGATTGAGATTCATTCTCCGTTGTTTGACGTTAATGTAGCTGGTCTAGTCATAATACAATACATCGCATGTAGATGAACTTCACTTTGGTTTCTGAATTCCTTCTCTTCACATTTCGGATTTTAGCCTTTAGCCAGTTTTGTCATGTGAACAGCTCTTCTATTTTCGTTTTGTAATCTGTTTGGTTTTGCCTGATAGTTACCGATACATGCAAATGATAGGCTGTAGGTATTCTTTCCAGAAATTTTCATTTTGAAAATGCATTGTACCTCTAAAAATTAGCATCAGTAATTACCAATTGTAATATATATCTTCTACTTCGCTTAACTATCTTCGATCTCCCTGTGAATTTAGTTGCGATGTATTTGACACCCGTTGAAGAAAACTAATAACTTTATGCTGCAAATCTATCTTTGATGAAAGCATTACATGGTTTAACAAGGAAGGATTCATTTCTGTTGGAATGATTACTTTGTGTTGCTTAGTGAGACATAGAAATCATCGATAAGCATCATCTGTATAGTAGAATACGGTGCAAGCAAAAGCATTTCTCTGAGCTTTGGATTCCCTCACCACCTCACTGAACGATTAAATTAACTTAAGGAAGCCTGTGCGGTGAATGCAAAAATGAAGTCATCAACCTTAGTGAAGTTTTAACTATATTATTTTTGTTGTTTTAGTTCCCTTTTTTGTTTCTGTTAAAGTTACCTAATTGTTTTTCCTCAAAAATGTTTTCTCGAAGATCATGTCCCGACGACTTCGATTTGCTCTTCGTGATTACAATCGGTGTGACACGATTACGTTATGTGGCCGATTTATACCCCTTACGCTGTCTATTGGTTCAGATGATCTCAGATTCTAGTATAACATGGCATCGCCAGTTATTCCTGCATTTTGTATCGATTGTTAAAAGTCGTCTCAATTACACAGACGGGAATAATTCACCTGATGTTAGCCCACAGCCTTCGGGGATGAATAGTGCTCTATCGACGGAAGATATTTACAAATTGTTGACTCATCTTATTCTTCCTTGCTTATCGAATGCTTTAGAGCGAGGTGAAAATGAAGTCCTTCTTGGTGGACCAGCCAAACCTTTTGAGAAAAACGGTATATCTTCTTTTAAATGTGATTTTTATATGTCACTTCAGGGTATTCATACTTTATTTTCTTAGTAGTTATTATTTTACTACATGTAAAATTATTCTCATGTTATTGTACGTTGATGGTTTGTAGCTAATTGTAGGTTGGTTTTTTCCTTCTACTTGTAAGATAGATGTTAATGCATCGAAATATGTTGATGGTGCCACGGCGTACGGATTTAGGAGTTCATTACTTCAGTCTCCATGGTGTTATTTTTAGGATTTTGAGTGATGATGACCACCTCTTGTGTAACGAGCAATACTGTTACTAAGCAAATTGGCCTGCATAGACACAAGATATTTTTCAGTTATATGTTACTGTTGAGTTTGTAACATAACTTTATTTGACTGTTTTTTTAACAATGGGACGTTCTTCAAGTAAGACTATTCTAGGTATTCTAAAACTAAATATCAAAAGTAAATGCCCGAAGTAACGAATTTCAAAATACTCAGATTGAAAGACGAAGTTTCAGTTGGGTAGTTTAGTTTATGCATGTTGAAAAAAATAGTCAGTTAGTTACTTCGAAATAAAATGACATCTGTGGTAAAATTTTAAATCGATCATCAGCTGGTAAATCTGGTATCACAAGTAGTAATTTAATTCTTGATCCAAAATAGTTTCGTCTCAACACACAGATTTCATTTCAGTCTCAATCACTTTTCTGGCAGTCGAAATGTATAGTGCATAGTTAAGCGAATTTAGATTTTTATTTCTTTCTACCTTAAAAGTTCACCTTAAATAAACTAGTTTATTTGTTCACTTGTTAAGTCATTTCTAATATATGCTTTTTTATCACTCAAGTTATATCATATTCTTAACATTTCAGATTGTGATTTGGTACACTTATTTGTCTCAGTTCTACTAGAAGATCCAGCAGTCCGAAAATGCACTGAACTCCGCGTTATGTATTATCAGATGGCTAGCTTATTTGTTTATTACGCGCCGAATTATGTGCACATAGGAAATACTAGGTAAGCACTTTTCTCCCACCATCTCTTTTCCTTCTATGACTTTATCATCGTAAGTTAACACACTGTAAGAAGAATAATCACATTCGCATAGTCGTCCGTGACTTGTGATTAGTGATAGTTAATGTTGCATTCCTCGAGTCAAGTCTTGATATTCTAGGTGCGAATTTCAAATTTTCAGATATGAATATTTCATCTTAAATTTGTGAATATATGGTTTACTGTTTTTTCTAACTGGATGATGAATCCTCGAAATATATATTTTTCTGAGTTACCAGTCTACATATTTCGTGCTGTACTTATTTAGTGTTTACTGTTTTGTAACCAAAGAAACACCCATGGACAGGAGAAACAACATGTTTGCGAACTGCAAAGCACTTACAGATTAGGAATTTAATGGATGAATTTTATGAAAGATCAAAAAATATTGAATATTGTGAAGTGTAAATTGCATTTCAGTGACATTTTCTACTTACTTTGCTTCAAATAAAACTGGTATATATCGGGTGAGATTTTTAAAATTCATGGTTATGTTAAATCGCCGTTAAGATAATTTGTTAATATGCTTTTTTCCCCTCACTGCAAAACGTATAGTGTATACCCATGAATGATATTGATGATAAGGTAGTTCTTCCCTTCCCATTGTTAGATGATCTGTTTTTTTAGTGTTGCATTTATCGTTTATCTCTATTCTAAGATCGGCACCAAATGTATACACAACAATAATTATAACACTGATAAAATGAATTCGATTATCTCTTCATCTCGTTTCCAGTGAACAAGGATATCGACTTCACAAATTCACCAGTATCGCTCGACCGTGTTTAACCAGTAGTTTAGGTGCTGTAGACTTACAGGAAAAATATACTGGTCTTCAATTACTTTCTCATTTGATTGCTAAATTTAATGTGGCTCGAGCAGCTACTGTCCAAGTATTTCAATGCTTAGCGAAAGGCGCACATACAGAAACAAAGAAAATTGTTAATCCTGCCTTAGATGTACTGATTCCAGCTTGGATACAAGGACCTGAAGATCAGGTAAAAGTCAATAGTTATTATTCTTTTTATGTTATACGTCAAGCAGAAGCGAAGAGGAATTTTTCATATATGATCACTAATCCGCTGTCTTCGCAACCTTCAGAACTCGTTTCCTAACTTTACGATATGATAGGTCTCTGCATTTTAGTTTCACTTTGAAAAGAAACAGCTTTTCAACCGTCATTCTTGATCACTTAAAGAGGATATAATTTGAAATCAACCTCATAAGTACAGTTCAGCCTATAACTATGGGGAGAGTGGGAAGTGTTTTTTATCATTAATTCGTAGTTACTTCACAATTCGCATAACTGCTAATCACTGTATAGCTAATTTGATGAAACTAATTGGGCGAACTGTCGAACAACTATTCCGTTTTCTGCTTTCCAGTAAAGGGATTTCGCATACTGTAGTCGAGAATACCCAGTTTAATGAAACAGTTCGGAATCTATTTTGGCTATCCTTTTGAAAATATGATATTTAAACTAGTTCTATTATTCATAAAGGAGCTGTATATAATGATAGATCCTCTATAGTGACTGTCATAGAGAAAAAGGTTACATGTAATTCTTTCAAACTCGTAATAACGATTTTAGCCTTTGAACTTTTGGTTCGTCAGATGTACCCAGATGTTTTATCCTTGCTTCTTTCGGGCGGGTTAATTTCAGTTTATACGTAACTTTGAAGAGTTTTTTGTAAATGACTCCAAGTCTAACAAATTTTCTGTTACAGAACTGAAGATTTTTCATTCTCTCTTTGTCAGTTACTTTTTATAGTGCTTTTAAGTGTTTCACATGCTATTGTATGGTAGATTGAATGTCCTCAGCGCCATAGGAGAAAAGTAAGCTTATATGCACTCTTATGTAACCCAATCCTTCGGCTTATTCTTTGCATACTGACAGATAAGTCTCTGAAAAAAGAATAAATCTCTTAAATTCGCAGCAAAACTTACCTTCTCATAGATCCTGATAGACATTTTCTAAAAACGTCTACTGCATTGTCACCGTTGGATTTTATGTTCAGTAGGAAACTCTTTTTTCCGGAGCCGATATCAGTGCGTTTAATGATGTCTTTTCGCTTTAGATTATTTATGTTTTTCGGTAGAAATTCATTCGCAATTGAAATTTTCAAGTTCTTCACCTGAGGTTTGGCTTCGTGCATATTTTTCTTACCATTAGAAAGAGAGGATAAGATTTCTCTTTCTGCTTAGGGAGATTTAACCTCTAAAATTAATGAACTATCCGTTCCAAATAGGCCTTATGCAAATAGATCTCTGAACTGAATAATCATTTCTTCTTTAAAGACAGACATCAAGGAAGTGAAACTTTAATTTTGACTTCGCTTCTAAATTGAAGTTGGTAAAGTTTCGATCGCTGTAGGAAGTTCGAAGCAAGTTATCGGACTCATATTCTCATCAGTAATAATGTGTCATCATTGTCTCTTCTACAGGTATGAAACGATAAGTTACTGTTGACAGAGTGGTGTTTTCCAAACTTCCCACTAAGCAGTCGGTTCTTTATGATGTCATTATCTTATATTTTTCTCAGTCATTTGTTTGTTTTGCTGTTTTTAAATCCTTGTATATATTCTGCTTACTTCACTTATATTATCATCCTGTTTCTTTAGACACGTGCTCAAAAAAATTATTCTGGGATTTTCTACCCTTTTCCGTATACGTTTAGAAAACAAGTTCATCGAAAATCAAAAATAGGTTCCTCATTGGAATCATTTTCTGTCTTTTCTTATGCTAAAATAGTTCTTTTGCTAACGAGTCTATAAATTAATAACTTGCCGTTCTCGATCATGAAACAATTCTCACCGACAAACGTCACTCGAAATTCAAGATAGCTTTCATGTGATACTCTGATTGGTTATTTTAACGTTTCCGAGTAGTATACAGTCTGGTACATAGGCATGTATATGGTTGTTTAGTCGCATGTTCGTAATACTGATTATATGATACCAGATGTATTAATTTGATGGCAGTCCTTAATTAGGCCAATTATGTATTACTAGTACCAATGAACAACGTTTTGAACCTAGTCCTTTCAGTCTATGGAGGAATAAAGTTTTGCACTCAGCTTCTTTAGTTAATTGGTATCCGAGCTTTATGTTATCACCACACTAATAATGAAAGGATCAAATTTAAAAGTTGTTTTCTCTATTTTGTGTTCTTCGTAGAAGGCTCTTGCACTAGCGACCAGGAAAATTATGCTAGAAGATCATGGTATCCAGTCATGCGTTCATATCCTGTGAGTTCACACATGCAATCATTTTTTTCAGTTTGTTATTCTCCAGTGTACTATATTCGAATCATATTTGAGTATATTCATTCATTGTACCTTGCATATCATTTTGATTAGGTACTTGTCTCTGGTGATGATGTCTTTTTTTTATACTGTATGGATATATTTTTGTATTTGGAGATATTAGTTCTTTCGGATCTTGTTTCGACTGATGAATGCGTAAATATCGGTCTACGCACTATTTTCAGTATACAGCAGGTAAACTGGAGGTGCAAATATTTATGGTCATGACTATAAGTGCACCTCATAAGCCAATTCGAGCTGATTTAAATCGGCTGCTATCCTTAGTTCTCAAGTAAACGTTTGACAAAATAGAGTGTTTGGAGATCATTTTGCTATTGTAGATAACAATTTACTTTCTATGTAACAGACATTGCATCAGTTTGCATGACAAGCACCAAAAATGCTTGATGTAATTGATACTATATAGGCTATATTAGAAATAATATCGCTTTTCTATTTTCCAATATTATTGAATTTAGCGATAACCATATTCGTCAGAAGAATTTATCCTTTCTTCATTCTTGTTCACACTTATTAATACTTCATATTGCGAACCTCAACGAATATCCGATTCTTTCTGTAATGTACTGTTACATATATTGTTAAGCTTCGTTACTGTACATAATTCCAGATTTTTTTGAATGACTTTGTTTGCATCGCTGAGTGCATATTTGTTTTCAGTGAACCTAGTCCTAAATACATTCTTCTTTGGATGTTATCGTACTTTATTCATATTTTAGATGCAAATTACACACTAGATTCCAGTTTTTTCAGTTGTCTGATGAAAATATTGTTCAAGAGGATGATTAGTAGTTCTCATTGTTGTGATCTCTTCACTACTTCTGAGCACCAAATATTATATTATGCAAACTTTGATGTATGAAGCTAAGACAAATCCTACTTCTTTTTCGACATATCTTAAATTTGTTGCAAATATTTCATCTTAGCAGTAAGCACTTTCCATTTATTTCGTGCTTTTCTTATAAAGAAATTGGGCTTAAATGTGTTACTTTATTTGGTCTGTGGATATATGGCTTTAGTTTACCATTATGGAACGTCACGTTTTTATCTTTGACTCCAGCACATAATAATTTCCGAAATTCGAGCTGATAACACCTATTATCACTATGATGATAGGGTTTGGTGCCACTAACTTCATGCGTTTTTTTAATCATTCTTCACATTTATGCTTTCGTGTTTTCAGCTAGTTTTTAGCATTTCATGAGTTGCAATCTATGAGTTTCATAATGTAATCATATTCATTCATTATTCTCTGTGCATATCTCTAGGGGTATTATCGTTCGTCATGCAGATTTGTATTATTCAATACGTCATCAGTTATTACCACATATAATTGTAATCATTTCTCGTCTATCAGTTCAACAGGTGAGTGAATAACCGGTCATTTTTCTAGTGTTTTTCATAAAAAATAAACTACTTATACCATGGTCTTCCTAATTTGTATATTTCCGTTTTAATGGACACAAAAAATACAATGGTTAAACCACTATGTGCTCGACTGGAAAATAAAAGCATCAAGTGTATTTAGAAAGGGTGCCCAGATATTTTTCTGAAAATGATAGCAATTATCTTCCTGAAGTACTATCCAGTCTTTTGTAAAAACAGCGATACAGTTAGCTAGAAGCAAAGGTTAACAAAAGTCTGGTTTATCCCAACCTCATCTAAACTGATTGATGTGAGAAGACTCATTTCAGTTGGCTGTGACCACAGTGACAATGAGGCGAAAGCATCTCGTTTTGATGATTGGCAGTGGTGGGTTGTGTGAGCTGAAGAGAAGGAGAAGGCGTTAGCATTAGACAATACTTGGTTAATGTTCAGATTTTTTTTTTAAAAACAGTGACGAAGACAATGATTACTTAGACCATCATAGAAGTGGATGGGTCTCTGATGACTTCTCAAGACAGGCGGGTGGACCCTTGAACAGAATACCCAGAAACATAGTTAAATTAACCTATGATAATACTTCAGTTACCCAGCACCCAGAGCAGACCTGAATGGGATGTAGGTGTTGTTTGTCCAATTCGAGATGGAGATGATTGTTTTTGATATGAAACGATGCAAAGTAGTTGGGCTCGAAGTTTTGCGTCGGAAGTTTTTATAAATAGCGGTAGAAAATTACTTGTCAGAGTAATGCAGGTACTAGGTAGTGTACAGAAATCAGTAGTGGTCGTGTCAGACTACTATAGATGTTTAATTTTTTCTGTCTATAAGAAGGGAGAGACTTCTTCGTGACAACCTTTGAGGAATATGTCTGACTAATATTGTGTTTATGAACCTGAGTTCCATAGTAATCTGACGCTTAGTTAGAGCCCTAGAACGGCAAACTCAAGAAAATTGGTCAGGTTTGTGTACTGAATGAGGGCATGTCGGTCAGATCTTCACTCTTCGACAAGTTCGGGAGCATAGACCTACTTACGGGCACCCGACACTTAGTATATTTCTTGACTGGAAAGTGGATTCAACTTTGTATACAAAGAAGCGTAGTGGCACTGTCTGGCTTTGAAGGTAGGACTGAGCAGATATGTAACGCTGATCACTTCTCTCTACTCGAACTCACACAGGCATCTCACGGCTTCTGGAAGGCTGTCATCTGAATTGTAGACAACCAGCGATATCTGTCAAGAATGTCACTGTAAGCATTCGTGTCCAACTTTGTTATAGGTATGCTGATATATAATCTTCGGCGTATGTAGTGCTAAAGCACTTAGGGAACTTTGATTGCTCAAACGGCATCGAAAAAATCAGTCGAAACTCACTCAACAATCTTATGCATATCCATTTAGTAGGCTATGTGCCACACATATTGTTAGAGGGCTAATGATATTATCTGGCCTCTCAAACCTCGCAGATAAAGCGATGTTCGAATATGTAACCTGTCGGTTGGAAATCAAGTGGTTAGATCGGTGAGCTACATTTCCTCGTCTAAAATGACCATTTCGTCTTTACCCTGACAAAATGCAGACTCTTCTGATCCTCTTGAACAGAAATCTTATTATGTTTGATGCGTTTTGCACCTGTCAAATGTAAGTTGATGGTTTAGTCACAGGTTTCAAAGCATTACTGGCACACAGTAGAATCATTGGGTGAGCAATGTTGAAGTTTTGCCTAGGGTGCTGGGCAAGAATGGTAAGCCCATGAGGTTGTAAACCTTTACCGATTGATATGATTTGGACACGTATTTCACATGATAAGCCACCGTGTACCTCGACACAAGGTGTTAGCCGAAGCAGGACTGAGCTGTATGAAGTCTAAGGATAATTAAACTAAGACTGGGAGTCAGCTCATCAAGTTTTTGACTTGGTTGTGAGCTGTTTATAGAGGTACAGTTTCCTCCCTCAGGATCCTCCGGACAATGGTAATCAAGGACCTGAGACTTTTGATGATATAGCAAGATATTGGTAACGCTATCATAGATGTATACACCGTTCGTCATCTTCAAAATTTTGAACATTTCGTGAAACTTTATCTGTTTATTCTATCTCCTCTATTGTGGTATCACTTCTGTCGTCTTCTTACATGTCTACTGTTTTGAAGTGTGGTGGGAACTTGAACCGGTACATTTTTGTGCCAGGTTCTACAGTAATTTATTTCTCGCTCTATAATTCATAAGTTTGAGAATAGTACTGCATAGATTTTTCTGTGTTTGGTCATCATTGGCAGTTATGTTTAAGCAAATAGCAATCACATTCTTTGTCATCATATTCTCTTTGCAAACTTCAGAGAAATTATTCAATTTTCTATCTTAGATTTTCATATCGCTAATCAGTAATTTTTTTTCTGTCTTCAATACATTTCCAGCTGCCGGTCGAACAGCGTCGACTGGCTTTAGATATGATATATACTGCAGCTCAATGGGATTTTCGTAGTCGACGTGAAGCAGTTAAAAACCAATCAAAGGAAAAGACTGATGAATTGAATCGCATAAATGAGAATAATTTACCCGCGGATAAAACTTCAACTACACAACCTGCTGTGGTGAGTATGCAGTTAATTTTCAAGACTTAGGGTAGTCTTTAAGCATCATTAAATTCAACAACATAATATCAAAGACTTTGTTTTCTTAATGAAGCTTTGATTCACTGCGTTGTCAATGTTAGACGTGCGATGTTAATGTTGTAGCTTAGTTGTTGTATAACCTCATCTTTTCCTTTGTTAAGTATTTTCTGTCAGCTTATGTGTCATCCTGCAATGCTTCTTCAACTTCTTATATTTATTGGGAGTCAGGTTTTCAGATCTGAGTAGCATACAAAGAAAGAAGAATAGCAGTAAGATTAGTATGGATATATTTCACTGTTTGTACTCACTTGCGGTTCAACTTATAGAATAAAATATGCTCAACAAAAAACCCAAGCAATACAGCGTAGTTTAACAAACAAACAAGAATGATCTGCTTAATATGGAAGATGATGAAAATATAAGCTCACCGGCATCGATGCTTTTCAGACTAAGCGAAGGTTATTATTAATATTTCTCCCTTGCGTTCCCAGTGGAACATAGGGCTTTAGTTGCACGTCTTCACTGCATTCTGTTCTCTGAAGTCTTCTCAACCTGGTTCCACCACTGCCCACAAGCTTTCATTTCTTCCACACACATCTCCTCCATGTCACCCTCGCCTCCGACGCCCAACTCATCGTTTCCCCTTTGGATTCCACTCGACGACCTGACGCGTAATGTCTCCAATTCGTCCTCTCAGTGTATTCCCAATACAATCCATCTCCACCTTCTTCTGCATATTTGTTGGGTGACAGGTTCTTGGTTGGTTCGTTGCCAGCCAGCCAGCCAGCCAGCCAGCCAGCCAGCCAGCCAGCCAGCCAGCCAGCCAGCCAGCCAGCCAGCCAGCCAGCCAGCCAGCCAGCCAGCCAGCCAGCCAGCCAGAGTTCCTTGTTGCTTATTCTTATTCTTTGTGGCCATCTTCAGTGTCAGTATCGAGTGAGCGTAGGTGGCAGCTGTTGATGAATGTCTGTCTGTAGTTTGTTGGAAGTGCTTTTCGTGACGCGCCAAGTTTCTGAACCACATAGAATCACTGACTTCCTTGACTGAATTGGTGTTGAAAATCCTGATCTTGTTCACGCTTTATGGTGAGTGCAGTGCAGTGCAGTGCAGTTGAGTGGAGTGGAGTGGAGTAGATCGCCACACTGATTTCAGACTAATGAAGGTGTGTCTTGCTGTCTTCCCGTTCCTGGTTTAGACATCCTTTTCTGTGCCGCCACCTGTAGTTGAAACGATGCTCCCTTGCCTAGGTAGGTGAAAGTAATAACTTCCTTTAGGTTTCTCCCATTGATGATGATTGATGCTTGCTGTTGATGCTGTTGTTGTTTGAGTATCTTCATCACCTCTGTCTTCTCTACGCTCACCTGAAGGAAGTCCCGTCTTCGCTGCCCTGCCTCGCCTCTTCCGCCAACTTGTTAGTTTTCGAGATCTGTAGATCTTCAAGTTTGTGCGACAAGACATTAGACATAAATGATCATCATCATCATCATCATCATCGTCGGCGGTGGTGGTGGCGGCGGCGGCGGCGAAATCCAAATCTCCTTTTGGGGTCTTTTCATCGGTCCAGTCAGCGTATGCCCATCTTCTCACAGCTCCTCACGGTTTGCTGTATGATCCAGTCGACCACAATCAGGAAGATGATCGATGACAGTAGGCAACCTTGTTTTACTCTTGTCTTCACTTCAAAGGCGTCACTGAGCTTTCCATTGTGAATCACTTGGCATGTAGCAGCATCATATAGCATAGCATATGGCTGCAGTTCAGTGAGGTTATTAATGATTTGTGACACTAAAACCGTAGTGTTGGAGCAGCTGCCTGCCAAATTACTTCTCGGTTGACGCTGTCGAAGGCCTTTTCAAAATCGATGAAGTTGAGGTAAGGTAAAGAGTTGACTGGCATTCTATACTCTGTTCTTTGATGATGCGTAGTGTAGCGTTGCGTTGCGTTGCAATTTGATCCGCACATGATTTGTACTTCCTGAATTCAGCCAGCCATCCTGTTCCGGTCTCAATTTTGAATCCAGCACATGTTTTAGTCTCTGCAGGATGATGCGGCTTAATATTTTGTTTGAGGTGGACAGGGGTGGAGCATGATTCCGCGCCAGTTCTTGCAAGGACTTAGGTCGCCCCTCTTTGGGAGTCCACTGATAAGGTAGCCCTTCTTCCAATCAACCAGCAGGCACCTTTCCTTCCTTGCTTCCAAACCTTCTGCAACAGTGGTGTGAGCATGTCGGCTGTTGTCTCTGCGTCTGTTTTCAGTGTTTCTGGCGGAATTCCATCTGGTCCTGGTGCTTTCTCGGATTTCAGCAATCTTCTGGCGTTGAGGACTTCACTTCGGCTTTTGTCGGAGAGCTTGTGTTCACTGATAGTTCTGTGGCTGGACTGCTGGTGGTGTTTGTGGACGAGTTGCAGGTAGTGGTGGTGGTGGTGGTGGTGGCGGTGGCAGTGGTGGTCGATTGAATTGGTCAGCCCATCGTTTCCTTTGTTTCTCCTCTTTGGTGGTAACTAAGTTTCCTCCACTATCTTTCATTGGTTTCATCTGTGTTGATCTCTTCCCTCCCAGATAGTAATCTGATTATTTGATATAATGTTGTTAGGTCTCTGTCTCTCCTACCCGCAGCCTGCAGCCTGTTCTGCTTCACTTGCCAGTGTGTCGTAGAAGTGTCTTTTGTCTTTCCACACACTCTTCTTCACTTCTTTGTCCAGTGTAGTGTTCTATAGGTTGTGTTCAGTTCCTCTTCTCGTTGTTCATCCCTGAAGTGCACTGCACTACACTGCACTGGTTCATCTTCTGCTTCACTATCTTCCTCTCCTTGCTCTATCAGCTTCCATGTGGAGATCCGTTGAGATCCATTCCTTATCTTGCCTCTTCTTCTCCCTTCCTAATACAGTTATGCAGGTTTCTTCCCACACCTCTTTCAAGGAGTTCCAGTGTTCTTCCTCTCAGGTTTCTTCAGGGATGTTGCTCAATGTCTCCTGATGTTGACCTGATGACTGACTGACGCGAAGATATCCTTTGTAGTTTCGTCCTTCAGTTCAGTTTCTGTTCCGGGTGTTCAACAACTTGAACTGTGGTCTATCACCAACTTCCTTGAATTGAAGGCTTTCAACTTGATTTGGAAGGTAGATTGTTTGCACTAGATAGTGAGTGGTGTGAACCACATACATCTGCTCCCCTTCTTCATCTGATCTTGTGTCTAGTAGGCTGCGTCTCCACTTTCTTCACATTGAGATGAAGTCGATCTGACTTTTAGTGTGTCCATCTGGTGAAATCCATGTCGCTTTGTGAATATCCTTGTGTTTGTACACACTGCCTCACTCGAATCACCGAATCGTTGAATGTGCAGAATTCTGCAAACAGTTCTCCATTCTCGTTCATCATTTCACCGAGTGCTTTCGACCCATGATGAGTTCGTTCTCTTCCTGTTTTGTCCGCTTCCAGTTTGGCTGGCATTCATGTCACTCCACCCATTAGAATTTTGATGTTGCCATCGCCAACTGGGGTGGGGTCTTGTCGAGTGTTGATTGCAGTTGTCTGTAGAATTCCTCCTTCTTCTCTTCATCTGCATTATTTGTAGGTGCGTAGCATAGCATTGTATGATTGTGGCTTTCCTTCTTTTCGAAGAGTGGAATCTTGCTGTAATCATCCTGATCGTGGAGGAGGAGATTGGTTCCTACTGCACCATAGAAAGCCTTCGATGCTCTTGAGTAAGGACATCATGATAGCCACTGTGAAACTCAGTGTGGTTGTGGTTGTCGTGTGGGTGACAATATCGGAATAGATTATTGACTGTCGAGTTAAGAGTTTGGAGAGTCTACTTCGATTGCATCTACTTTGGCAGATTCTGAGCATTTCTGTGCTATATCTTCTCATCCCTTTTGCAACCTGGGCAGCCTTGTCAGCCAGGTCCAAACATTGTGTGGACACTCCATGTCCCTATGCTTACTTTTGCTTTCATCGATTTAAGAGGAGACACATTGTGGAATTGGCTTTTCGAAAGCTTTCAGCAACCGGCATCTTTTTGTCTCTCTGATTCCAGCGAGGAATAAGTTTGATTTTATTTTTGATATTTTCTTTGTTTTGTTTATGGATTGTATTGGTTTTCCTGGTAGGGTTTCCAGCCCTGTGCCTAACCTTTTCTGATTATCGGGGCTTAGGACCGGCTATTAACTTGTGAACTAGTTGAGTAGGCGGGGTTGACTGTCTGTTAGAGAATGGAATGACTATTCTACAATGTATAGCATTAAATGGGGTTGGAGGTTGTAAACACTGTTATACTGGAATTGGTAAGAATGGCACCATAATTAAGTAACCTCAACAAACGGTTAACAGATTTTCATCACATTTTGTAGTAAGATGAACACAGCTCAGAAAGTGAGAGTAGGTTTTGTAATAGACTGAAAGAGAACATGAAGAAACACAGGGTCGTGAAATTTCGTAGCTACAACTTAGGAGATTAGAATTGTCGAGGTAAAGCAGGATTAACCACAGCATATTATTGAATAAATTGGTTAAGTTTGAGTCTTTTGATTGCCAGCGCTTCAGTGAAGCACTAAACATGGTGTTTCAGTTGTTTATTGATCACTTTGAACGATTTCGATACATCGACATTATGTTCAGTACCGAGTGATTGTGTTATTTAGACCCTGTGGGTCCTTCAAGACTTCAATTCTTCTAAATATGTGAAGTAGTGTGGATAAGAAGCTTTCTTTGTGTTCTTCCAGTGTGTGTGCTTTAGCACTTGCATGTGCATTGATATATATAGTTGAAGGCAATAGAAGTTTTGAACTTATCCACTTTAGCTTTAGAAAACTTCAGTGAGCAGTTAATCTGATACATACAGACTATCTTGGAGGTTGTATAGGTCGTTTTTAGTAGTATACTGGGTCAGTGATGGATCCTTGAAGGCAGGGTGTAGAAATATGAATTTTTTTCTACATTGTGCTGTAGTTAATTCGTTCTCCTTTCTCTCCTACTCTACATATCGATGAACCTTTTTCCGTAACAATTTTCGTGTAGATGGCTTTCGACTGTCTGATTCTTCATCAATTTTCTCTTCAGTGGACAGTTTACGCGTATAGTCGGAAAGCGTTCTTACCACACATTCTTTGTAAATAGTTGGGGAGAATCTGTTTCAGTTTCAATGAAGCATTGTGCGAGTTTCTTTTCGATGTATTTGTCTATGGGTCTTCCCGTCTGTTTGAAGTTTTGCTAACGGCTAGAAGGTTGAAGTTATTTAACTCATGGTGACAACCACTTTCAGAAATATAGAATATTCGTAACAAATTACGGTTGGCTTAGTGTATCAATTCATTCTCCTTTTTCGTTTGGGAACAAGTGTTCAGATTGCAACTCGTTCTCCTGATGAGTTGACGTTATCATCTTGAAGATATGCTAACGGCTCGTAGTTTTTAATTACACAGACGTTGACCCAATCACAGATGAATTTTCTTTAGATCTGGAATATGCAGATAACATAGTCCTGTTAGGTGAAGACGCTGACAAGATGCAGAGTCTTCCGAACACTTTGAGTGGGAATTTGAGAATGTTTGGGATGCGATTTTCACCACCGAAATGCAAATTTTTACTCCAGGACTGGTCTTCAGCAGTACCGCGGCTAAGAATAGAGAGTGAAGTGGTTGTGTGTGCCGGTGAGATCTCTGTACGGATACAAAAGTCTCGATTGGTTTTTGCCAATTTGCACCACCTATGGTGCTGCCATGATATCCATTTGTCTATTAAGGGTCGCGTGTACTGCACAGCAGTCCGCTCCGTTCTACTATATGGCTGTGAAACATGACCATTGAAAGTGGAAGATATGAGAAGGCTTCAGGTGTTTGACCACCGTTGTCTTCGTGGTATAGTATAGGACGTATTCCGTGGTGTCACCATGTGAGTAATGCAGAAGTCAGGTGTAGTGTTTTAGGGAGAAGAGGTAAGTCAGTTGACGAGGTTATGAACGTTCATCGACTGAGATGGTTGGGACACGTACTACGTATGCCTAGTCACCGATTGCCTTGTCACACAATGTTGGCTGAGGTGAGTCCAGACTGGAAAAAGGCTTGAGGTGGCTAGACTAAAACATGGCACCAATGTATGAAGTCTCTGACTGTTGGTTTAAGCCATTTGGGGCGATGCAGACTAGATGGTTGGGGTCGGTGGGGGGACAAGAGGAACCAGTGTTTTGAGACTCTAGGTGATATGGCTGAGAACCGATGTGAGTGGCGCAGATGTATACATACATCATCCTCATCTTAACGACGCTATACCGAATCTCACTATTTTGTCACTCCTCTTTCCTTTCTTCTCGTACATTATATTTCTTTTGACTGCATTCACTTATCTTCACCCTTCACCTCACTACCTTTCTACTTGATGAACTGACGTGAGGTGTGACAACTCGTACCGTTACGCAGTAATGTCTGGTCCTATGTTGATCTGGATGATGATGATGATGACGTAGTTTTCACCGAATGCATGATTGATGTGTAGTCGTCTTATTTTCTGCATTTCTTCCAGACCGAAGTCTCCAACACACCTATGGATAAACCTCAGCGTGATCAACTTGTAAACCTAATGATTCGCTTTGCTTGTCAAGTAAGTTGATTAACATGGCTTTTTATGTGTATTTTATGTGTCATTCCATTTTTTTTACATATCAAGGTTATATGTGGTATGCATTCCATCAGTTTACTTTGTTTTGTTGTGGTCGTTATCTGGAATGTGTTTGTTAGATTTTTTGTCGAGGATCTGGCCATCGACGTTTTGCACGATTGTTGATACAGAGTGAAATCACATGATTTTTGATAGGGAAGGCAAGGTGTTAAAGGTCTGAATAGACCGTGCTTGAGATAACAATAATGTGCTGCGTGTGTATGACAACGGACTGTTCCTATGCAGAATTTCGGGAGCTTGAGTAGGTTCGTTAATGAAAACAAGAGATGAGAGTAGCGCTCAGGGTTTTGAACAACCAGGCTAAACAATGCCCGGAAGCATGTAATCATAATTTCTGAGAACAGTGAAATTCTCAGTTTTAAGGTGTAAGTAATATGTTTGCCTCTCTTTCTACGATGAGTATTGCATTTACGTAAACTTGATGTATTGCTAGTCACTTAGTGGTCCCGCTGTTATATTGTAGTGCTGTTCTCACTTTCACAACTCAAGCTGATGAGCCATTTTGATATCCTTGAATGTATTCAATGCAATTGTTTTTGTCAGCTTATTAGGAGTACGAATGGTGTAAAATGAGAAAAATTTCTTTTTCGTCAATATAAGAGTGTTGTTTCTGCTTGTTCTTTGTGACTACTCAGGTGGTTCTCGGTAAACTATCGGATTTAATGAAGTGAATTTCATTATCATTCATTTTGTTTGTCAATCGGATCTGTCTCCTTTGGCAAATATTTACCACCTTGAATAAGTTGGAATTCTATTGTACGACTAAATTAAAAAGGAATATTACTCTAAGTAACTTATCGTATGCATGTTAGGTAGAAGATTTTGGTGTGAAGCAGCAACTGAATTATTCTTTGTAATATTTTTCATCCGATCGCAGGGGATTCTGCATTGAAGCTTCATTCGTGAAGTCGATAGTTACGAGAAGGTTGTTGTAATTTCTAGCAAATATTGTTTGTTCTCTCATCGAATAATCTTTCACAACTTTACAGGCCATTGATCCTGGTCAAAGTGGAAGTTTGTCTGAACAGTCAATATCTCGTACCTTGGCTCAACTAGAATTTGCCCTCCGCTCGGACGTATGGGGTGGTGAAACTTGTGAACTTCGTCTCACGTTCATCGACCGTTATTTCGCTCCGGATGATGCATCGTGTTCTCATTCAGCGACTACTACAACATCTGGTAATGCTTCAACTCCTAGTCCTAATTCACATGGAATTCATGTGAGTGGAGCATCGAGTTCCGTTCCGACATCTACACCGTCCAGTCCTCATGGGAATGCACCAACAAGTAATGCTCTTGGGGCAACACAGGTTACTAGTTTGTTGATGACATTAGAAGTTCTTCGTGTTCTCTTCTCAACGTTGGTATGTTGCATATATTTTCATGTGAATGGTATCGTTTTTCAAGGCTTTTTGTCGCGTTTACTTTTAGAAATGAAAAGTGAACTTTTATTCATATGATTTCACATTGAGATGATTAAAATCCATTGTCAGACCGTGCATTTTTTACAATACCATGTACTAACTGAGATATATCTGGTTCCGTAAACGTAATAACAATCAGTCGTAGGTTCTGATCTTGCAAAGTTCGTTTTTAAATAATCATTGATAACAACAGTCTGTGTACTGAGGGGATCTGAATAAATCAATACCTCATTTCATTGGATAAACTTTCACATTACTGATGTTGAGTATTCGGGAGGTGCAAGTGATTGGATTGATTCTACTTACTCGTAATACTTCCAAGCAGTGAATGTGATTTGAAGTTTTTTTTTAGAAAGTAGAATTCCATTTCACTCGATTAATTGAATATATGTATCACACAGTAAAGCAGTATTATTTACAGGACATGAAGTGGAATCACACCGCCGAAGTCCTACTTTTATTTTTTTTTAAATGAGCAAATTATTTGTGCCGAATCAGTCTGCGTTCACCAGTGATCCTGAATAGCCCTTCATTATTTGCCCTTGAGTACTTTCGACTTGTGTGGATTTCAAAAGATGAACATGTATCAGTCATATTTTTATGTAAGTAAATCAAGTATTGAGGGCAAAATCAGTAGATTTCCCTAACCACAAGCTATCTGTGCTCATGCAACTAGCAAAAGTGGAGAAATAACTATGTTCTCTTACCGTTGAATAATAACTATTTCCCTTGAATTATGAGATTTATAGGCTAGCCTTTGAACTGTTGAGTTCCATCTCGATATATGGACTTTTGTGCGCTAAGCATCTTCTGGTGTAGTACAAATTGTTTATTCCTTGCAGTGTACATTATGGGCTCCATCACGTATCTGAATCGGCTTAAACAGGAGTTTTGCTTTTCCAGTAGTAGTAGTGAATTGTTTATTTCTCCCCCAAAATGTCATGTTATGTAAGTTACAAATTTCTCTGAATGACTTACTGAACATCTCTTACTGACTACTTGGTGTCATATTTTTGTGTAATCTACTCTTTTTAAAGGAAAGTCCGACATTGCTACTCAATGTAAAACATTTTAGTACTGGACTATGCAATGTATTAACAAGGCACCTGACGAATGTACGCTTGATGAGATCATATGCCGGTCTATTACGTGCTATGCTTGAACGTTATCCAGCTGAAGCATCGCACCGTCAAAAAATTACTGCTTATCCTGAATTATTTGATATTTATTCAGCAACTTTAAAAGCAATACAAGATTCATTCACGTTTTTCAGTGAAAAGTAAGTTATATTTCTCATTCTGTTGCAGCATAGTTTTTTTCACTTTTTTTGATTCGATTATTAAGTTGATATAAAGATTTGAAAGTTGTTAGTTGCACGACGTCACTAAAGTCCACGGAGAATCTAAACGTCACGTCTCAGTCATGGCGTATAATGTTGCTATGTGCTAATAGTGGATGAGATGTGAACCTAACCTGCTTCAACAACACATTGATCTAATTAGAATTTTATTTCCCTAATCTATATTCTAGGTGCACAAAAATGAAACTTATACTACTTAAACAATAAGATTTGCAAACTTTTCTAAATAATTACCTTGGAGATTGAAATTTAATAACATGAGTAGGTTTCAATAATTATGTTTATTTGATTACCAAGTTTATCGATAGATGAGTATGATGACATATCACTTTGAGATATCTGTAATTGACGGCTAATCCGTGGATATTTCATTATTAGACTAGAATTCTTTACCTCACTGTGGTAGAGTATAATTCCATATTAGTCTATTTATGTGACATAGCCCACAGTGATATCCTGTTATTTACTGGTCAACTAAGCAACTACTTACCAGACCCTAAGTTAGTCAACTCAGTAATCGAGTGAAAACTAGTGTTTCCAAAATGGCACGATCGCTGATAGTAAATAATGCTGTATAACTGTGCTGTATTAGATCAACAGTGTGATATGAATTAAGACTCTTTTACTGGATTCCATCTGTACATACTAAGAACCATGTCAACACGAACTGAATGCAGATTGACAGACGATCCGATATAACAATATTTCCATCCGCATTCTCACACTTTACAACGGCACAGTAAAAAGGAAGTCAACAAGCGAGAAAACCAAGAAGTGCTAATTGGAATGTTGGACTCACCTGAAATTTATCTGATGAACTGCCTTGTTTTTGCGTCGTGATAGTCACCGGTTCTATATTTATTAATGATCCGTGTACATTACATACTTGTATCTAAGTTTGTGACATTTAGGAAGACACAAACTGCCATCAGATATGGGTGAAAATCGCACATTCGTTGTGGCTAAGAAAACACAGCAATTATAAAAGCAGTATATCATAGAGAAGTTGGAGATTATACTCGAAGGTAACAGTTACCGATGGAAATGTCGATAACGTGGAGATGTTGCAAACAATATCAAGAATGAAGAGACGTATATTTTGTAGACATGAATTAAATAATGAAATGAATTCATTTGAATCAGTACGATCATTTTTCTTCCAGATTGCCTGAAATCTTCAAGCATCTGTTTCAGTTGTCTAGTACATACCTTTTTGCGCAACTCAAACCAGTCATTGGTCACTTCCTGAACCAGCGTTGTGTCTTTATTTACCTACTGTAGGATTTTTTTCAACCCAGTTATACTTCCTCTCATCATTTGCTTCAGGGTAAAGGACGAATCAACATGCGTGACATAAATCCCCACCGTCTTAAATCAATGAAGATTCATAACCTCATAAACTAATCCACCTTCTTAACACAGTACTCTATATCTTACATCTTTGCTTCTAGCATAATGATTTCTTCACATGTAGGTGATGCCATAACAACAACAGTTGTCAATCGCTGGTAAATTTCACAAGTTTTCCACCTTGAGATGCCATATCTTACATTCATATATTACGAGAGAGCAATTCCTCTCATATTTAAATGCAATGTCTACTAATATATACATGGGTGTTTCCAGCTCATTGCTGTAGGATGAGGATGCTTATAACATTTCATCAGTCTTGGGTTATGTCAGTACGGTCTAATTTTCGTTTTAGTCCTTTGGCATAATACACCTGAATATTTGAGAATTCGCAGTTGAATCCATATGTACACAAAAAGTGATAAGTACAAACTCACCATAGTGGCCAAGGTATGACAAAGTGAATAGTCAAATATTGGTCCTATGTGCGTGTTTCAGGAGATTTAAGTACATCTTTGTTTCCATATTATTCAGTTTTCATTAGTAAACTTTTTTTAAGCTATTTTAAAGATTCAAGCTGCCATGATGGAAGAGGCTGAAGACAATAAACTTCTAATCGGAAAGCACTAGTAGTTTTGAGTCTGAGGCATGATCTCAAAGATATTTGTCTTACGCTGATTGTGCATATCCTATTCAGAAATATTTGATCTGAATCTAATCTTATAGAACCAACCACTTACTCTGAAAACTTTACCACTGACATGATCACTCTTGTATCTTTTAATCTGACTTTCTGACCTCTCCTGCGACAACATATGTTCAAATCCCGGTTATCCTACGGAAGAACTTCACTGCGGTTAAATACATTTAGGAAGAAATACCACGGCGTATATCTGAGATAAATCACTATATTGATAAGTTTGAATATTACTAACAGTCCATCAATATTCACTAGCATTTTCATTTTTATTTCACTCAAGGTATATACTAATTAACTGACAAAGTAATTATTATATAATTTATTTTCCCCTCATTTGTTAAACACTACTCTGTTTCGATTACTTTTAGTTTTTCCAAGACAACCCAGCTAACACGATTGCAATCAACATTTCTTCTATTTACGTCAACACAAGTTCAATCAAATCCTCATGCGTTCGTTGATAGATCTATTGTTCATCTAGTCAAACTTGTTGATCGTCTTATCCAGGATTTGGTTAGTCCTAATTGTAGTTCTGGTGTGCAAGAAACTGGAACATCAGCACGTGAGTACCTTTTTCCTTTATTTTTATTCAGAGATGATCCATCTTAATTTGTCACAAGATATGTTATATCATGAATAGTTAAACAGAAACGTAATAGCAGAACTCCTAGTGGTAAAAACTTATTTAAATATTGAATATTCTCGAGTAATTTACGTTTTTTCATGAAACATTCCCTTACATCTCAAGAACAGTAATGGTCTGACCATCCACTCAAAAAGTATAACTATGTTTTGTATGTAGTTGTTTTTTCTTCGCTATTGATTTAGCTGACTGTATAGTATTTAACTCAATTTTACTGTCTTAAAAGCATATCAGCAATTGGTCTCAAATTGTCTTTGATGGTGTTCGATTGATGGACCTATTGTTCATTTCAACATTCACTCTGATAGGCTGGGTTGTCGAATTTCAGCCACCGGATAACGGAATATAAATTCGCTATGAAGCCATAGCCACGAGACCACATTTAATAAGGTTTTTGTACCCGTGTCAAACCACTTAGGTTTTTACTTCATCAGTGGTACTTCTGAGTATTGATAAAAAAACCTCTTTGATAATTTTTTTTTACTATTTTGGTGACTGTTGTTTTATATCCTTATATGCAGTATAGTATGAGCAAATACAGTAAACAACAGTAATGCGGCATTCGCATGGTGAGACCGTATGCTAATATTTGGCGTATTCACCAAACTTAATAAATCAAGAGGAAGACTGTAGTCTGCGACACCAAGCTATGCTCATTGAATAGGAGGCGAGGTTAGCTTGATAACTCAATTCAATCTTATCAAGATCATCGATGCAATCGGATGTAGAAACACTTGACAAGTTTTCAGCAAGAGGATCTATATATCATTGATCTCACTGCTAGCCACCATCTGAAACTAAGTTTGCAAATCCATGTAAAGCATGATGTAACAATCCGTTTTTGTTTTTAATTACAAAAATAAACAGCATTTTTATTGACATTACATTCAGTTTCACTTTGCTGTCGGTCACTGTTTGATCTGAACGTTCTACCTTTTGTACATTATTCTAATAGAGCTGACAGATTTACTAATCATGGGTCTTGAAATGATCAAGTCACGTCTGAATGTTGTAAGTCATGAAATGCGTAAGACTGTCTTTGGACCAGATCTATGTCTTATTATGGATCGAGCTCGAGATCCTCGTTTGTTTTGTGCTGTTTTACAAGTTCTACGTGATTGGATAAATGTGCCTAAATCTGAAGAACATTTTGCTCCAACGGCTCGTGAGAAAGTCAACTTTTTCTATAGACTATGGCAATCTTATCCACGTTGGATTGACAGTTCTCCAGATGTTGCACGAGAAATCCTTGAGTGTGTCTATGACGTAAGTTTATTTCCTTCTTCTTAGTAACCATATTTTTATGAGATTTCAGTCCCAATTATTTTACATTGAAGCCTGAATTATTTTGACCGAAACTTCTGACGTTTTCCTTTTGGTATTGTCATCTGATAAAAAATAGATCCTAGTTACTGATATGATAACACAGAATAGTAATTGTGGTCCCATGGCCACACGAGTAAAGCTTTAGTTTTATTATTTTAACGGTGAGCCCGCAAACATTAGGTCGCAGGGCTAATTTGATCCCAACTTCTTAATTTTGTACAGCTCAGCATCCAAACAATTGGCATCACTCGCAAACTAACCCACAAATGTATACGTAATGAATTGCGTTCACATTTCTTTTTATATTTAAACTTATCAGTTTCATTGGAAATGATACAAAACATGACAAACTATCGAAACATCTTCAAATTCTATGGCTTGCGATTATATTCGTCCCTAATTTCTATCTGGTTTCGCTCTGTTTATCGTCTAGATTTGTAATTTTATTGTATTCTGTAGTGATCGACTAAAACTAGCGTTTAAAACTCAAATGTGGTGGTATTCACAAGAAAGAATTGAAATTTTGAAAATTTTATTTCTATTTGCCAAAAATATCGAATATATTTTCATGAGAGAACTGTTTTATAATTATAAAAACCTTTTCTGAAATGTTTTTCCTACCTTATATCTCACAATTCAACTGTTGTTTTTTAGGTTTATGCCAGTGCAAGTGTATTCAAAAATCATGATCTTTATGTGAAGTTGGAACAAGCTTTTTGTTGTGGTCTTATAGCGCCATTTCCTGAGATCAGTGAACGTTTCATTTCTTTGTACATGGAAGCCTCGCAAATTCGTTTCCCTCTAAACGGCAATTTACGTCGAGTGGATATCGTTAATGGTAATGAAAATATTGTTCCAACCGATTCTGCTGATTCGCATGCTGATAAAGATTCTTCATCGTCAGATCAATCAAACTATTCTTGTGCTTCGCTTTTAGTTCGACTTTTGTTCCTTATTGTATCAAACACTTGGGATGAAGCACATTTCTGTGATGGTTTTTGGTTGCCTGTGTTCCTAGATGTAAGTTAGTCATTTTACCAACTTCTATGTCACCTTACATAAATGAGACAGTGGTTATAGGCTGCTGATTTGTAACTACCGGGTAGCTTAGTCTAATTTTTATGGAACAGCTTGGTAGGGTCTCTAGCCCTTACACATTAAAGTTGACTGTGAAGTAGTGTATGCTATTCTGTACGTGCTCGTCAGGTTGGCCGCATTCTTTTCTACTTTATCGTAGTCTTTCAGCGCCTAAGTTAGGTATTTGTTCCGATATTTCTCATATTTCTTACTTTCTCTTCCCAGTCTTTGATCATTTTCGCAGTTTATGTCACTTTTAGTGCCACAAATAGTAAAGCATTCATTGGTTTTTGCGTAAACAGATATGTGGTCATGATTACTTTCCTATTCAGTAATTTATATCTCAGGAACAACATAAGTTCGATAAAGATGTGATGCTGTTTATCCCTACAACCTTTCTGATTTTCTCATCGGTAATCATCATTGGTGACTTGAACCACAAAAATCAGTCCTATCAAAAATTACTAGCAGTCGTTAGAACGTTTTTGAAACCTACTTTTGGATGGTCATTCCCTGTTATTGAATATATCTATGTCTTCTGCTCTTTAAAACCTTCTGTATAAATGCATGGGGGGAAGAAGATGTAATTTGCGGGTTACTGTACTTCGTCAAGTTACAATAATGTTGCATTTCTGTGCGATGTGGTCTAGAGTAGAAATTCCGAAGTGTCGTTTAACCATCATATTCGCCATGCAGTAGTCTTCCTGAGTATGTTCACATTTTATATGCTTTTATGCGTTTCCCCTCATATGTGTCAAGGAAATTTACTACAATGAAACCCTTAAAACATGATCTGTGTTGCTTGTGTTTTTGATACAATAATCCATCAGTATAGTCGAATCTTTTCTCATTGTTTGCTACTTCTCTTCACAACTTACCCCTCATTCTTCCTGAGGAATTAGAATTTAGTCAACAGTTATATTTATTCAGTATTTTGCTCCATCGAGCTTTCAGTGTATACTAATGCGTTCTTTTTATTGTTAGGTATTGTTATGCGATGTGGATACGTCTTTGCCAGTAACATTATCAAACAATTCTGTATTCTTTCATAACATTTCTACTGATTTACCTGCTCCGTCGGCAAACAATGTTCCAAGCAACGATCTGGACAAACACATTAGCAGTCAATATATCGCTGATTCAGTTAATTTGAACAACTTCAAAGAGCTACTTGATTCACAACTGAAAAGTTTACGTGAATATAGCAAAGTAAGTTTGATTGTTTCGCAGCTAATTTGTTGTGTCAGATAGCCGTAATGTTCTGTGTTTACTACTTGATGGCGTTGCATTATCGCCAACACTTTTATTTCATTGTTTGATAGTTTGAATTGAATGAGAGTTGTTTTATAAACATGGTAAAGCTCTCAGATAAAAGCTTTTCTAACAACAAAAGTTATACGATTTTTTTTAAAGTTTTGATATTACCGATTTCTTGCCATTATGTATATTTGTTGCCAGCAAATTTCTAAGTCTGCTCTGGAGTAGATTGTGGGTATTTAAGTGTTTTCAAAACGCAATTTTTGTCTGGAAATTGGAAGGAAGCTTGTACTGATTTGTTGTTTATTTTATGGAGCTTATGGATCAATGGTTTGTGGATTCATTTTCACACTCCATTTACTCTACACTCTACCATTCACCATTATCAGACAATAAATATAACTCATCACCTACTATACTGGTCTGTATGTGGGTCACTGATCTGGATTTTTTCTAGTCGTAGTAAGGGAATAAGTAGAAGGATTAAGAAAATCCGTGGAATTCATTTCTAGTGGTGAGGTAAAAAACCGATGTCTTCCAATAACAAGTAGATGTATATGAGAGAAAAAAATCACGCTGAAACTACTTAATACCAAAGAAATACTAAATTACTGAACGAAGAATTATGACTTGGACATTATAGTCGATAAAAAGAATGGCTTATGTACACACATGCACATTTTTAAATCCTGATTTTTTCTCAACACCTTTGTTACATGGTAAATGGATGCTCGTTTCAAGTTACTCGACTTCTTTTTTTTTATAATTTTACGGAAGATTCTGTTTAAACATAAGCTGTAACTTACTACATCTGCAAGTACTGCACATTTTATCAGTTTGCACTCATCAACCATACTTTATTTGTCAGAGGGTTTAAACATCCAGTCTGTTGTCTGATTTCCATTCTTACTAGACGCAAGACAACACCTGCAAAACATGATAATAATATGTCCAATATAACGGTACTTAATGTTTCATTAGGAACATGGTATGGCTGCGGTTTTCATTCAGTTGACCTTTCATTCCTTCGTTTCTATGGTTATTTCCTGTTTTTTTTCATTGCTGTATCCTGGTTTTACTATGTATTCACCACATTGTCTACTTATCTTCCTTTCCATATCTAAATTTTAGATAACAATTAGTCCAGGATTAAGGGGTATGCTGTGCTTGGCTCATAAACGTCCAGCCTTAGCTAGTGATATTCTTTGTCAACTTTGGCCGCAACTCTGGGGTCGTTTGCTTTTGCAACATTCAGAAAGTCAGTCTCTCTCATCTGAAATAACAACACGAGATGCATCTGAAACAAACTCAGTGACACAAGAACAATCTAGTGCATTACAAACAGGTCTGATGCATGATTTATCACAAACTTCATGTTCAGAATCTGCAGGTTCATCAGATATACCTTTAATGAATGGTCATGGATTGTCTCCGAATGAAATTCGTGCATTTGTTATTCCCCAGTTAATTCGTTTTTTAACTTCGGATCAGCATGTGCATGCAAGCGTACCTCAACCGAATGCTCTTGGGGCCTTCTTCAGTGCCCTAGCTTCCTGTCCAGATACATTACTTGTTCATATACCTCTGCAAGCAATTACTGTAAGTCAATAACCTTTTAATATTTATAAATTGACCTAGTCGCTTGATAAATATGTCTTTTACGTTAAATCTCTAACTCGTACTTTCAATTTTTGTCTTTTTTGTAGTATCTGGGACAGGCTCATAATCAGTGGTACACAGTTGGTTTGTTTCTCGAATCTCTTTGCCTTCATGCATCTAAACTTGGTAAACAATGTGTGTCAAACGATTTGATCTATTCAGTAAGCCTACCGTCCAGTGATCAATCTGATACCAGTCTTTATGGTATAAAGCCGAATGAATTCCCCTCTGGAGCCGCTTCTCTATCACTAATTACTTTATATCACGAAATGAATGATGTTGATTTTTTTACTTCAGCTTGGTGGTATCGACTATCACAGCAGCAAAAATCCTCTTCCTTTGAAAGTACTAACGATCCTTCACGATCATCTTCTTTGCTCAGGTGTTTAGAATATGCTCAGCATGGTTATCTGTTGCGATCCCTGGATTATGCCATGGACAATCTCTCAGCTAGTCATGTTCCCAGTAACCAAAGTTCATCAGAACTATCAGGATTTGGTAGCTCAGCGTCAATAAATCGTGCAACTGCTGCCGCCTCTGCATCATCATCCCTCAATCGTACTAACATTTTCTCTGATCCTTCTATACATTTGGGAGAATTGATTAATCGTGCACGTCTTCGGGACTACTGTATTCTGTGAGATTCATACCTTTTCATGTTTGAATCAGTAATTTATTTTTAAATATGATATGTGAAACGAAGGTCTCATTTTAATTAATCAAGTAGAAATGTATGGCATCACACAGTTCATTTAAGCCTTTCTTGATTTGTCTTTGAACTTATCTATATTCCAACCAATCAGTAATAAAAGTGTCATAAAATAAAATGAAATAAGTTATCTCTATCACAAATCGTCTATATCGCGGTGTCTTCTTATGAATCAATAAAGCTAGTAACGTATGTAGTAGTATTAGTATGCTTTAATGTCAGTGATAAGGATTATTAGGATCTAATCTTTGAATTCGATAACTGCAGTTGGGAAGCATCTGTTTTCTCTAGGTTGCAAGTGGTTCACATATTGATGAGCGCTTGCAAGTCTTCCAGTTGTTTCTCACTATCCTGTACTAGATGAAACGCTCTAAAATTTCTTATTATCTGACTTGTTAGCTCAATTGGTTTTCCTGTCAGCTCTTAGAACTTCTGTCGCTAGTTATTAACTGAAGGTTTAGTGTGGACCTCTGAGGTCAAGAAAACTAGCCAGTACTTGTTGGATGTTTCCGTTGGTAACATTTTTAAACCTTCACTCTATTTGAAAAGAGTCATCATTAACGAAATTGTCAGCTGCATTATTACGCTTCAGTGATGTTCAACTCAGGTAAATAATGAAAGTTTAAAATCTGAATATTATCTTCCTTTTGTCTTTTGATCAGAGTAAGCACTTATAATTCAACAGTATCAAAATAGTACAAAATATATCATTATTTTGTGTTCATTCTCAGTGGTAAACTGACCATTACTTTGAAATTTTATCTGATTCCCTGAATATAGTGTAGGTAACCACTGCAGCATAGTTTTTCACACACTATGATGATGTTGGCTTTATTTTAACTGTTTCAACAAAATCTAGGCAATTAAAAAGCTCGGTCAGTGGGACACATTGGACTCCCTTGCATCATCTGTTCAATCTGCTAGCTACATGACTGGCTCTTTTGGTTCTGGTTCTACTGGAAGTGCAAATGCAAGTTCCAGTTCAGGCAACTCTGGTGCTTCTGGATGTTGGGGTCTGAAAGCTGATGCTGCATGGCGACGAAGTGATTGGTCTGAAGTGTACTACAATTTAGCTAGGGTACGTTTATATAATATTTACTTGCGAATGTTATTATTTATTACATTAATCCTAACAGTGTCAGTCAAAAATATTTCTCTCTAAGCAGTAATGATATAGGGTAACGTGTGCATACACCATTAACAAAACATATGTCACAGTTGGCAAAAAGATAGTACAATCTCAAATAGATAGCACAATAACACTGGATTGCTCATTTCTTAAAATTTCTTTTCACATATCAACAAGGTGGGAATATAAAATGTTTCTTCTTTTTTACTTCAATTCATCACTGCAATCTAACCAAGTTGGAATTATATTTTATGAATAAATTGAAATCAGTGATCATGTAGTGATTGTTACATTATCCAGCTGCCTAGATCGAAGCAAATTAAGTGGTTTCCAATTCACGAGTCATTTCATCTACTAATAGTTGGTTCATAAATTTAAACCTATCTAGCCAACCAGCTTCGACCTTGGCAACCGTGTTGTGTGATAAGTCTCCACACATTACGCTGGTGACTAAGTTCTGTCATTACGTATTTTACTCTCTAGCGGCCACGTGTACGTTTGTGCGATAATCAAGTTAGGTGAAACTCATGAGTCAGTTCTGAAAGTTTTTCATCAAATGACTGCGACACTAAACGATATCTTCAGTGCTACTTAAAGGTCTAAACACTCATCCTAAGGGCTAAAGTTAATTTATTGAAGGGAAGATCCATTTAGATGTTATATGCATCCTTGCATGTTTGAAGGCCTCATGTCCACGCATTCATGTAAGTATATGTATGCATAAACTCAGATGTGGAAAGATGTTAATGCCTGTCAAAAAACTTGCAAGAAACAGCTGTTTCTGAAATGATATGTAATAATGAAGATTTGGACCAAGTTACAGTAGACAAAAAGAAAACACATGTCATTGTCTGCTAGCAGTGGAATCCAGGACGTGTGTTTCGTCCCATTTGGGACTCGTCAGTTGGATTTACCTGCCCCCCAGTGAATATTGTTCCCATCTCCTCATCTGCCAACAGAAGTCGAGGGATTCTAGCCAGTATAACAGCGGGATATTACAAGTACCGAACAACGTCATCATACCAAATTGTAATGAATAGGCTATTTTGTTTTCTACACAAAGTGGGCTTTATTAATTTTTTCATTCATCATTCTACCTTTTCATTGTTTTACTTTCTGAAAGCTGGCTAATGAATGTCCTAGTAGTGAACTGCCGAGGTATGCCCTTATTCAAGCAGCAGCTTGTGTAGCAGGACGTCGAGCGTCTGGAATTGCAGCGGTCAATAGTGCTAATGCTGATATCGATCCTTACAATTCCGGCTTAAGTTCAGCTGATTTGTCCACTACATCAACTACTGGTCCTAATTCAGCTGGTGGAAATAATACAGTCTCAACGAACGTAGCATCAGCTTCTCAACATTCAAATGCGGCATCTATGACACCCATGAACAATATGGTAACCATGATTCATACTTCAGAACAAGAGAGTCACCGTGTAGTGACTATAACACTCATGGAATGGCGCCGCTTGCCTCTTATCGTTACAACTCAGCATATACCGCTGCTTCAGGTGAGAAGAATATCATTTATTTATTAGAATTAGTTTTTGTAAATAGGTCTCACTACCCCAGTTGATAATTCCATTTATTATTAACCGCAAAGTTTTATTTCTTCAGTAAATATACCTTTTTTTAAAAAAGTATTTCAGAAGACATTTTCGAGTAATTTTTTTCATCATAAAGCACATTTAATACTTTCATATCTTAACTGGTAAAATTTGAAATTGCCTAGTTTTAATGCTGAAGTACGCACTGTTATCTGTGTTCAGATATTTCCATTTCTTAATTTACTGTTAATTCAGCTATTTTTCTCTTTTTCATATTTTGTGAGTAGATTGCTCATCGCGCAGTTGAAATAACTGAAGGTAATAGTTTGTTAGCCCAGTACTGTGGTCATGTTTTAAGTGGTTCTGGAGTATCTGGTTCTGCATATTCTAGTCCTAGTCAAAATAGCTCAGGTTCATCGACTTCAATACCACAACCTGGTTCCTCTTCAACATCTGTCAACATGCGAATACCATTTACTCAGGCACTTCATGATTATAAAACCGTTTTCAGAGCATGGCAGTAAGTTTTATTTGTTGTATGACATGATTCCATTCATTCCTTTCATGTATTTACGCACATTTTTAGATAACTTACAGTTGTAATTTTTTCAGCTATCAGAATACTGTTTTTTCTAATGACAATACACTGGCGGCATTTTTGAACTCTGGGCTACCTTTTTTTATCACAGAATATATTGCATCAAATTTCTCATTTCTATATTGTTTTAATCGTTCAATTATGTCAACCAATCATATTGTATACTCTCGCACGTTTTTAAAATCATTACAAGCTATCACTTCACAAGTTGATGGGCAAATTAAGAAGAAGAACCAGGGTGGATGCCACTGGGCTCTCAAGTTTATGACCATAGATGAAATGACTATTCCGGGAATACGTAGCACAAACTGCAGGTCGTTGCCGAATAAAGTTGATTACTTTCAGTCTTGTCTACAAATGTTTATCGAAACACGGATGTGATAACGCTACAGGAAACATGGCTCAATAACCTGTATGATGATAATTTAGTCTGCTTAGATGGTTTCAAATTATTTCGACAAGATCGAAGCTTCTTCAAGAAGAAATGTGGTGATGGTGTAGCAACATTTATCAATGCAAACTGGTCCTCTTCCAACTATGTATGCTTCTGCTTCTCTAACGAAAAAAAAGAGTGCATTACCATCAAATGCCGTCCCAAACACTTGAGCAAATACAAATATATATATATATATATATATATATATATATATATATATATATATATATAACAAACATTTATGTCACACCTGACTGCGGTTTCTCAGATTTGTCAACTTTTACTGATGTATTAACTGAATTTGCTGTTCTGGGTAACTCCTTGTCTATAGTCTGTGGAGATTTTAACTCGTGACTACAGTTTTCTTGTATCATTGAGTCACAAAAATATGGTTAACTTTTCCACTCGTCTTGACAACACCCAAGACTTTTTATTTACAAATGAACCTGGCATATATGAAGCCCATAAACGGGCCCCACTGCTGAATTCTGACCACTATATTGTTCGTGTTTCGCCTAAAGTGTACGGCAAATTACACAAGAAAGCTTTCGGACACCTTTCCGGGAAAGTTCCATACACGTACTATTTGCAAGAGAGCGTATTGCGTTTGAGAAGCATGCTTATAGAAACAAACTGGGATATATTTGCCGATGAAGTTGTAGACAACACTATCACCAATATCACAAGCCATCTCAGATTCTGTCTTGATATCTGCTGCCCTGCTGGAACAATTACATGAGATTCGACAGACTTTCTTATCTCAAGAGACTCCGAAGAAAAAAGGAAAGGTTGTATAGTGCGATAGATCGCCCTGGCGTTAAAAGGCTTAACTGCCTAATTAAGTCTGAAATGTAACGTCTGAATACTATATACAACCAGAAGTTCCTATCGTGTAAGAACTCTTCCATATGTGGAAATTATTTAAAGAGCTTACTGGTAAAAAAACAGATGACAAAACAAACTCGTTCGAATGTCTGCGCGTTAAACAAGTCATTTATACGTCGGCAAGCTAATTTCACCCTTCTTAGTCTCCAAAGTCAAGTGGATAGTTGCTTTCCAGGTTTTAATACAAATGATGTATTTAAATGTCTAAAGTCCTTGAATCCCTCCCAAAGCTTAGGTCCTGATGGTGTTTCTAGCATTGTATTTAGAAAACCTGCAGATATTTAGTCATCCACGTACAGATGTCTTCAATGTATCGTTTTCTAAAAACATAATACCCACTGCTTGGGAGCAGATAAAAATTGTACCTGTACCTAAGTCATCTTCTGGATCAGATGTTACTTTTTGACCCATCGCTATAACTTCCCCTTTTCTGAAGACAATGGAGAAATTAATTCTCTTTGTAATTGAGCCTTCATTGATGGTTTTCAGAGATCCAAAAAAGCTTGCTTACAAGCACCGGGGAAGTACTTTAGATGCAGCCACTGCCTTGCATCATAGTATTGTTGCTAGTCTCGACAAAGGTGCCTTTTTGGATTACTCATCAGCCTTTGACTCTGTTCTTAGACCACTCTTGTTAAATAAGCTTGCCATGGCTCATACTAAGCCATGGGTTACAAAGTGGCTGTATTCTTATTCTTCTGAAAGAAAACAGTACACTCTCTATAAAGGGAAGCGCTTGACCTCACTGCTTACTGAAGCTGGTGTGCCTCAAGGTGTTGTACTTCCCCCTTTTCCTTTTTCGTTTTTTTGCGCGGTTTGCCTTATTCTGTTGAAACTAATATCAAGTATACTGATGATCTGACGGTGTCTATTCCAGTCAACTCTTCCTTGGTTTGCTCTAAATTAAATGAATTCTTGTCTGAAGTTGGCAACTGGTCTCAAACTAAACCCTTCTAAATGTCAGACTGTTGGTTTTAGCCTCAGGCGTAAACACGACTTATGTGAGCTGCTCAAATCTCATGACTCCTGCTGCATCGATGGTATTTCTGCAGAAAGTAAATCAAGTGTGAACCATCTTGGGTTGGATTTTACTTCTGACCTGTGTTGGTCGTCCCATATTTTGTTGACCTGTAAAAAAGTCTTTCGTTTAACTTATTACATAAAGAAACTGAGGCTCTCTTGTATAACTCAACCTCTTCTCTTACAATTTATTAATTCCTGCATTTTACCTATTCTTCTATATTGTTTCCCATTAATCTTCCCTAGTCTTCTAAAAAAGGACTATGCGTAGGGCTTTGAAGGCCGTCAGCAGGGTGAGTGGTGTGCCTGTGGCTGAACTGATAAACACTGTAATTGATGGACATTTGAGTTACAGCAAGCAAGTAGCTACAGAAATTTTAATTGACAGTGAGCATCCACTTCATTCACAGCTCTCTCCATGTATCTCCTCAGGGAGGACAAGGAGAAACTACATAAGACTGTATGCTCGTACAGCTAAGTATAAGAAATCGACTGTACCTTACCTTGCACGTATATTTTGTGAGGAAAAGAGTGTTAGAACAGAAATCACAAATCAACTTTGTGACAGTTAAAAATCCCTTTTCAATAATTTAACTAACAATGTGAAATTTTCTCGTTTTTAATATTCTTTACATTACTTAAATTTTTATAATAAGACAATTCGAACTGTTGTAAAAAGTATATACTTATATTTTGTTGTTGTTGCAATATATCATGCTGAAGATTCCAAATTGTATCACAAATTGTTTGGAATAAAGTGAATTATTATTATTAATATTGTTGGGTGTATGATACTTGTTTCAGTGCACAATAAGATCTGTGAAACATATCTTAGTCCTGGCCTGTCTAAAACATTTTTTAATTATCAGTCAACCCACTGAATAGTTAGTTTATACTGAGTTGTCTTGTTTCATAGCACTTTCCACAGGCACTGACTACATGGTCATGTTATTTGTTGTAAAGTTGCGCAAAACATGAGCAATGTAACTTGTTTGCTTCATAAAGCTGTTTAGTTCTTTGATCATATGCATACCTACGCACATATCCACTCTAACATTGACTTATTTGACCCTACTTGTCACTCAGAATACTTATAGGTTTGATGAAATATCGTATAGGTAAGTCCTTTTATGTTCGCCCGTGCCTATGAAGTCGTTTCGACTTTGTTTCGCAGTAGTCCTAACTAACTGTGTACCAGAAAATTTTCAGAATAGTGAATATTGCGAGAGACGATAAATCGGAATTTTATAGACTTCAGGATGAAATTCCACCTGATAAAGTTGAATAAGTTAAGTATTAGGTAAATAGATTATAGAGGGAATCCCAGAGAAGTAGAAAATGAATTCCTGACGTTTTGCCACCTCATGGAATTCGCTTCTTCAGAGAATAAAACCTGTACAAGTTGTCGCATGTTTCAGTAGTAAATGGAAACAAATCAGACTACGTTATTCATATATAGTAGTGATATGAGAAAGGAAGTTCTAACTATCTAACTTCCATAGTGTAGCGTGTAACGCTTACTAGTGATAACTAAAGTAAATGTACAAGCATCCAAACTGAATTATTCATTCATGAGGTTTTTCCCAAACCATCACACCTATTCACGTGTGCACACACATTGACATCTTTACCTTGAACTCGCGTACTGATAACGATGACACATCCCTATATTATTATCGTGTATGAACAACGTCATCCATTTACTATTTAGACATGCGATAACCTGTTCAGGCTTTATTCTCTAAAAAAGCGACTTCCACGAGGTCTTGAAACGTCAGCTATTTATTTTTCTACCTTATTGGCATTTTATAAATATATTTCTTTTGTAATAGATTGAAAGTTCTAGTTTACCATTTTCCTTCATTTTAATGTAATTACAATCGTTTACCCTCCAGACTTGTCAATTTTCACTTTACATACTTCATTTCATATTTCACTCTGTTTTTCTTATCTGTCAGAAGTCGGCCATGTGCGATTGGGGATGACCTTGGTTTCTGGCACGATCTCTTCTCTTGGCGACAGGTAATCGAAGAATGTATGATCAGCTGCCATCCATTTTCACAAAAACCCAAGTCTGAAAGTGTAAGTTAATCTGCCTAAATGTTTCCGTAAAATAAGCTTTTTTCTGTCCAGAAAAATTCTTTCTGTTTGTTATTTTCTTGATTAATTTATTTTGGATGCTGTATTTATTTTTAAAACAACTCGACTTTTCTGTTCATTCGATATGAATTATTTGGTTAACTGACTAATAAAGGGTTTATAAATGACAAAATGCAAGCTACCTTACTTCTTAACTACACAGCAAAAGAAACAAACAAGATACGAAATAATAATGACTGGTTGAAAAGGTAAAAATATCCAGCTTTTATGTGGAATGTTAGATGGGGGAATCGCACTTCGTTACCAGAAAGTAAGTAGTAACTAAATTAGTAGCGCTACTATTTATTTTCAGCTATGCCTCTTGAGATAAAAAAAATGATTAAAATGCTCTTGCATTGACTCTTGCCAGAGAACCTTTACTTATTTACACATGTTTAAGGCAGGTATCAATCAATTGACCGATTACTACCACATCTTTATCGGATCAGCAGGATGCTTTTCTTACAATATCCCCCCCCTTCGCCAGGTCCTGCACGACTGACATCATTTCTCATATTCAGCGTGGTTTTCGCATAATAATTTAACTCTTCTGTCCTAATTGATAATAATCCTAGCCAACAAATGTAAAGTGTTCTTTGTGTACCTTTCCACCTTTTTCTCTAGAACAATTTACTTGCACTATGTCAACGTGAGTTAGCACTCAGTCAACTTAATCTGGCCCGTGGTGCGCGTAAATGCCGTTTCCCAAGTATTGCTCAACAACATTTAGACAGGTATGTTATTATATATATATATATATATATATATATATATATATATATATATATATATATATATACTGTCGATTAAAATGTACTTAAAGGTAGGTACATCATGATCCCTAAACAGAATACGCTTACCCTCTTAACTAAAATAGTTTATGCTCTAAGTGACAGCACTGATGTCACATACTTGCTTCTCGAGGACTTTAAGAAAACGTTTATGAATGCATCTATGATTATATTGTTTATATCTTAAAGTTGTATGTGTTTAGCTTTCAGTTCAAATATTTTAGCTTACTGTTGACTTTTTCTTAAAATTTTATCAGGTATACACGTATGAATCTGCCGCCATTATTTGAAAAAACTAAACAAGAAATCAAATTAAAGTTGGCTGATCTACGTAAGGATGAACTTCTAGAGGTTAGTTAACTGATCTGGAGACTTTCTCATGCTTGATTGATGAGTCACTTGCATAATTGCTGTAGCTTCTCTTTAGAAAAGAGCATTGCATCCGAGGTACCAGATATATATATATATATATATATATATATATATATATATATGCAAAATACAAGAGTTTATGTATATTTACAATGGCCTTGACTATTTCCAACTCTTTCTGGATTTGACCATCCTGTTGATTTTTATCTTTTCAACTAATCTGATATTTACACGTTGGTGCATGTGCTTTCTCTTGAAACTTCGGTGCAACGTGATTGGTTGTAAAAAGCGCCAGAGAATGAGGGCTTTTTATGAAGATTATGGCAGTTTTATTCCACGCCATAACACATTCCCCTTGAGAGAGATGAAAATTATATGTTGTCTTGTAGTTGACTGCGAAGCTTTTGCTAGATAGTTTAAAATTATTGTTTAGTGATCTTCTGAATCTATGTTGTGACTTAGTTCTCATGAACTGAATTGAAACCATAAAAGCTGGTAATGAGGGGAGTGATTTGGTGATACTTTGAAGAGTATTTGATGAATCTTTTTCTCCTCGCTTCAGAAAAACATTTCTCATATCTTTCGAAGTCGAATTCCAATGTTGTATAGCATTAATTTTGCAAAAATTCATTACCGTCATGCCAACCAGTTGTATGAATTCAGTCGTTACCGTGGCATTTTAATACCGAAAAGACACACAAATCTGCCAACCTCAATGAATCAAATTCACTCAACTTTCGATAAACGCCTGAACAATTAATTTTGCTCATGACCAGTAGTTTCATAAGTCCTTCCACATATGGATTTCTTTCGATCGATCTTGCTACACTTTTCGAGCTCTTTAGTCATCTGCCTGTTTTTCATGTTAGTCTTCTATAAGTTTCATGGAGTTTGTCGACATATCCTCTGGAGGATGCACCGATTCATTTGAGCAGGTAGTTTAGTCATATTCTTTTGGTTCCGATTGCGAGCAAGCCTCTGTGTTTTAACTGACATCCTGAGATCTTGTATCCAGTTTGAACCAAGGTAGTCTAGGAGGAGTTGATCTGACTGATAAGGTACTCCGTATGCTGGCACTATGGTGTGTTTTTGATCGCCTGATACACTGTGATCAAAATGTGAATTTGAGGGGATTCACGGTTTTCAGTTTTTGCTAGTCGATGTGTTGTTTGCAGTGAGGCTGGCTGGGAAACGATCCTGGTATCCTTTTGCTCCTATGGACAGAAATTGATTTCGAGGTAATAATCCACTATGATGGGAAGCAACTACCTCATTTGATGTTTGTACAGGGGCTTTTAACCCACTTGAGTATTTGTATAATTGCTGATGTTGCTGCTTGGGCTTTCAGCGGTACCCCTAAAGACGTTTCCTGAAAATATAGTATGGTGTTTGGTTTTAGAAAGGTTAGATCGCAACAAACATGTTTCTTCATGTTGCAATTTTTCGACAAGTACTTCATGGTTTTCATCAATATGAACTGATTTAGTGTTTGTATCATTTATTTTTTCGTGGTGGGTACTAGAAGGGTTACTTTCGTCCTCATCCATTAATGTAACGTACTTCATGTTACCAGGCTTGCTGAACTCATTTTCAGCTTCGCTATGTTTACCACTGAAGTATTTACCTAGTCTTTTTAGATGCGGATTCGGGCTAAATATTATTCAGTATTTGAATGAATTTCTCAGCAATTCTGTATTACTGCTTTGTCGCCACTGGTTGTCCTTGTAGTCACTACAAGGACATAACAAGTGACGACTGGGGTGAAAAAAGCTGGTATTAAATGCTTAAAGATGGATTTCATGATTTCTGAGCTGTTTATCTCCTATTGATCATTAAATCAATTCATAGATTACAAATGCCAGTTGAAAGCATAAGTATAACAATACTTGTCACCTGTTTGCCCAAGTTTCCTTACAAGTTGTGCGTTTTTTTTGCTCGAAATATTTTGTTTCATTTTATTTTCCAACGTTTCAAATGAATCACATTTAATTCACATACCTCGTGTGTATATTCACTTAGCGTCTGCAGATTGAATTATTAGAAGGATGTCATTACTAGCTAATAAAAGTCTAAATCGAAATTAATGTAATGTAATTTAAATCCATTTTGAGAGTAAAATGACAAACAGGTCTTCAAATGTACTTGCCAGATCACTTATAGTGTTTACAAAATTCCATGAACAATCTCTAAAATGTAACGGGTCCTCAAGAAATTATTAACAGTGTTTGCAGAGTCGGATCGAACCTCCTCACAATATCGAGTATCCTTACTTTCATTGACTACTCATTATACTCTATCCTTTTATAAAAAGATCTGTTAGTGAATGATATTCTTTTTAATTAGATCCGAGATTTTACTCTAGAAGTAGTATACGTAGCTTTGTATACATAAAGTATAAAGTAATCAAGGCGATCTGTCAGTTAACCGTAATATGGATGCTGACTATGCAATTTAAAATATGTTGACAGTATAAGTGATTATACGAATATTGATAACGCCAGAATAATGTCAAGAGGTGTTCAGACAGACAAATTAAATAAGAGTTGAGAAAAAAAATGAAGGCGAAGTCGGTGAATGAGTATATTATTTAGAATATGAATAGAGTAAATGTATGAAAGGAGTGGCAAAAACGGAATAGAGGGAAAAGGACTTTATAAAAATCTGTTGGTGATGTCATCCATTCAGTGTTGCCTGATCCAAAACAAGGTTAATGATTTTACAAATTCTTTTTAAATGCTAAAGTTAAGATTGTTGAATTCTTGTATTCTCAGCTATGTATAAGTTAAAGATTCTGTATCTACTTCAAAGGTTCGATGGGATATGGGCAACCACTTTAGACTCTTTCTTGTCATTTGAGGGGTCATTAATTAGTGAAATACAAAAAGGAGCTTCGTATGAGTTTCTTCTGTCTTTTTCCTAACCACGATGGTAGACATTTGGTTAGTTCCCCTTGTTAAACGTTCGATATAACTGTAACCATAGGTGTAATTAAATTGGTCACTACACACAGAAATAACAGAATTTAGCACCTTGTCTTTCATGTGACTCGAAACAATTGGTTAACTAGAAAATGATAGACAGAAATTAGCTGCATGGTAGTTCTTTTAATGACCTTCCGTAGTCTCTGGAAATGAATCTAACCAGGTGTATTGCCATTCACTTGTATTTTTATAAATAATAGTTTTTAATTCAATTTTTTACCTAATTGGTTCATGTACTTCAAAAAAAATAAGATAACCAGAATTAACCTATTTCGATCAATTCTAAATGTATGTTAACTCAGGTGGCTGGTGTTTAAGTAGGTCTTTCTTTCCCATTTGCTAAATATTTCATTACATTTCTTTTGTACGATATGGATGCGAAAATAAAGAAGTATGTGGATTGACACATGTAATTCTTCTGTGCATAATTCTACCTCAAAGGTGAAGGATATGTGATGTTAAATTTCCCCAACGAATGTATCATCAGTGATTCTTATCTAGCTTGTTGAAGATGTCTTTGAAAAGTTCTAAAAAGCTTGTAACTCAGCAACCATGTGCAAGTTTTATTGTACTAGGTGTTAATCCATTATGTGAGAGTTAATCATTCTAGCTGGCCATCATAGCCTTGTTGAAATCGTAGTTTAAACCGGGCAGAAATAAAGAGATTCGCGGAATAAGATGACGTCACTTCGCTGAATTTATCAGCTGCATAAAGCTTAGAGTTGCATCGAAATTATTTTTATTTTCAAGTACATAACGTATTATAGGTAGACTGTAAAAGAGAAAAGTGATTCAAAGAGACAGGAGGAAATAAGAATTATTTATCGTAGTCAAGGCAAATGATTATTTCAGTATGATTGGATTGACAGTTCTAGATCAGAAAAAAAGAAATCGGACCAAACAAACAGTTTTAAAGAAGGAAGTCGCTTAACAATCGAGAAATTGTGCAAATGTACAGGCAGTCAAAAAGTAACAGAACTGTGATGTAATAGGATGACGTCGTTTTACTCGACCAAACTATTTGTCCAATTTTGTCAAAGGAACGATATTGTGAAAGTAAAATGCATAGACTAATCAACCACAGCTACACCATACTTTATAATCTTGTATAAATTTAATGTCAATGTTTTTCTGCCCACTTCCCAACTACATTATTGTGTAATTTGACTACTTGAAGTGATACATTTCTTTATAGGGTTCCACGTTGATTGGTCTGCCTTTGTCTTCCAAAAGTAGCATCTATCTTATATTTATCACCTTAGTAATTTCTATATGTCACACCTTTCATAGTCATGAAAGTCAGTCTTGTTAACCGTAATTTGATGTGCTTGGCAAGTTTACGCTTAGTTAACCTAACCAACAAGAAGCATATGAACTGTAAGAAGAATTGGTGATAAAATTTTGTTAGTAGTTAATATTGTACGCCTATTTCTTACTTTTTGATGTTCCTCAATGTAACTCTGATTCTTTGAAAAAATTATCAAGGGATTGGAACTTATGGAGAAAACTAATATCCAACAATTTGAGAAAAAGGATAGAGCTAAATTCTTCTGTTACAAAGCTGTTTTCTTCTCTCATTTTAATAAGTAAGTTCTTAATATTTTTTATTTTACTTTGGCTTAGAAAAATAAGTACTAATCTTGTTTTCATCTCTTTCTAGCCAAACCAAATTCTCTTCTCAAGTAACTGAAATTAGTTCACAGCACAAACCGATAACTTTCAAATTCGCTAGAATTCAAAAATCTCATGAATGGTTGTTTCTCCTTACGTATTTTGTCACTCAGCATCCTTGCAATCTCCATCCTTTACCTGGTTTCATATTTTTAAGCTATCACTTCGAATATCAGTAATTCACGCCTTCCTATTTTCGGGTAAATTCATGATGCAATGCTTTTATAGTACAATATTATCACTACCAACATAATTCCTTCATAAGATTCTTAGATGTTTGCACGTAATAAGTTAAGAGATTGAAACACAGTGGGTATGGGAAAAATAAGAACTTAATGAATTCATAATTCTCACTAGAACTTCTCAGCTGGATACTTCTACGTGCCTAATTACATACACTGTGAAGTAACACAGGGGAACAGGCAGACATAGTGTGAACTGAGAAATCATTTGAAGCGTAGCAAGGTCAGGTAATCTTGTTGCGAAATGTTAGGATGTATGTGCTAAATGAATAATGCTGAAGGTAGATTACGTCATTCAAAGGAGAGCGGTTAATAGTCGATTTAGAAGCCTGATAGCTGTCTAAACCTCAGCGCCATTAGAAAAATCCAAGTGCATTTAGGAAATACTAACAATAAATATGTTAACAGGAATTGGGCCCATTGGTTTTAATAGTTCAAGAGTGAAAAAAATGAATGTTAATGTCATGCTCGAAGTCCATTATATGTTCTGAAGTCAGTCTTTGTGAAGTTTTCTTTCCTGACCACCGGGGCCAGTGAGAAATCCAACTATTTATCAAAGGACGAGTATACTGGGCTGTGGTCCATTCTGCCCTGTTATAAGGGTGTAAAGTATGGCTGTTGAAAGCAGAAAATATGATCACAAATGTCCTCATAGCACTGGTTGCGTGTGGTGGAATCACCGTGTGAGCAGTGTTGAGGTCAAGCAAAGGGTACTAGGCACTAGGCAAAGCAGGCAAGTTAATTGATGAGGTTGTGAACCTTAGTCAACTGAGATGGCTTGGACATGTACTGCGCATGCCGAGCCATCGCCGACGCACCATGCTAGGTGGAACTGGATTACGTTGGAAGACGGTTCAGGGTGGCTAGACCAAGACCTGGAACCAGTCGCTCGAGTCCCTGACTGTTGGTCTAAGCAGTGTGGCGAGATGTAAACTGTCTGGTTTGGGTCCTGGAGACGAAAGAAATCAGTACTTGAAGCCTCTTGGTGATATGGCTAAAAATTGATAAGCGTCGCAGATGTATTCACTTCTTCACGTCTCCTGAACCTTGAATATTCGCACTAACCGTTATCACTATATTATTTATTCTCTCACGCAAATCTTGAATTAGCCCAAGTTTTCGTTTTCAGACAGCCCAACTGAACCTTGTCGACTACTTTGACCCGGAATCATTGCAAAAGATTTTGTACACGAACTTATTTTATCCAATTAAATCCATTGGGTCTTGTAACCTACAATGCTTGTTTCTAAGCGAGTTTGTCACTGTAATCCCAGCGTTCTCGAAAATTTTTCGTAACGCTTCCTAGGCGTCTTCTTTTTATAGTAACACAGTAGAGGCTTTGAATTTTCTCTCCACCATGTCACCATTACTACTACCGCTATTATTCGTAGTAGTATTGTTATTGATATTTGTTTTTCTGCCACTGCTCATATTTTTATTTTATGATTCCTTATGAATTTATTGATAAATTTAAGTGGGTTATAATCGAGGCAGTAAATTAATTGCTTAAACACATTCCATAGTAATATTGATACTATGGAGCTGTGGCTTATTAATCTAGACACTTGATTTTCAACCGATGGGTCATGGTTTCAAATCTAGCTCCATCTACAGCCAAGTTGCATCATTAGCCTTTCCCTTTTTAAAAACTCTTTTTAACAGAATTTAAAGGTGATTAATTCTCATGTCAATAAAGAATCTTGTAAATGTCATTTGGAATCATTTATGACTATATGATCTTAATTTTTACTGAATGAATGATCATAACCTTTATTTTCTAATTAAATTAGGGGAGATGAAGCAACCAAAAACTTTGGTTATGCAACTCAAATGCAGGATAATCTACATAAAGTTTGGTCAATTTATGGTGACTTTTTGGAAAATGTTTACTCTAGCTATCCATCTCCGTAAGTTGTCTACTTTAAAGTGTAGTGTATTATTTCTTTGGGAAATGCTTAACTAGTGACTAGCGTGCGTGCAGTTATTAGTGATTCTAATTCGAATTGATAACTGTGTGTTACCTAATAGTATTCATGTTACAGTAAGAATAACAGTAACCTGTATGAGCATTACAGTTTTTCAATAATATTTCCGTTGGAAAGATAGGCTACTTTATCTTTAAGTACTTTGGTATCACTTTCATAATTCTTGTTGTTTCCTCGTTTGATCCTTCAGATCGACGGTTTTCGTATTTCCTAATATGTGTTCACCTTTTACCACACCACTATGGATATGCATAGAACTTGCAACTTTAATGATACTTGTACATGAGACTGATCATTACTTACACCACTTTTTGACTTTATTCTGAATCTTAATACACTGTCTGTATGGTACAACGTAATGCTTAAGCAAAAGATTTGCGTTTTGCAGTATCGGCTGGCTGCGAAATCACTCAATGCGTAGTAATATGACTCTAATTTATTGTTTTCATAAATTTTCTTTGTGATTTACATCCTTTTAAATTCCTTTCAGAAAACGAGAAGTTGCTGTATCTACAACTGGTATTTTTGCGATGCAAGCACTTATGGAAGCTGCTAGTGTCTGTGGTAGTCTTGAACGAAAAAGTCGGTCCGATATAGCTAAGTGTCTATGGTTATTGACGCTAGATGATGTCAATGGTCAACAGCGTTTGGCACACACGTTTGAAGCGAGAGCTAGTCGAGTTAGACCAGAAGTCTTCTTACCGTGGCTTCCAGATCTTGTGGCATCACTTCTACGACCTGAAGGCCGTTTCATTGTCCCAGCTCTACGTAGAGTGATCGTCTCATACCCTACTGTTCTCTATGGATACTTAAAGGGTCTACAACACCAATTAACCACAGAAGTAAATAACGATCAAAAGCTTGCGGAAATTATACAGAATCATGAAAGCAAAAATAACCCATTTATCACTGCAATTCACAATCGTATCACATCAACACTTGGTTTTGGGAAAGAAAGTGTAGTAAAATCTGATAATTTATCTTGGTCGTTCAACCGTGAAAATTGTGCAGTTGATCCCGGTGACTCTGTACATCGATCTGGATATAATTATAGTACATTTTCTTCAGCATCGGCCTCTAAAGTTGATTCGAATAGTTCTAGCACCAACTATTCTAGTGTTAGCGGAATAAATCCATCAAATGCTATGAACTCAAAGAAAAAGAAACGTGTGATTGTCGTTATGCGAGTGTTGAAGGCGAACGACTGAACTCATCTTCCTCTAATTCACCACAACAGCAAAAACGTGATTCAGCGGGACAGTCCTCTCGCTTGAGTAATCACCCTAAAAAGTTTCCTAGCCGTGGACCAGATGCTGATTCAGCTACCAATCCAGATCAAGATCAAATGGATTATTTAAGTGATGTTGAAATGACAGAGGTTGATGATGATGCTGAAGTGATTGATGTTGATCGTGATGATGAAGAAGAAGAATTTACTGGAAATGAAGATATGGGATTGTATGAGACAGACTCAAGTTCAAAAATAGTTAGCAATGAGTCAGAGTCTAAAATTCTTTGTCTGATTTGGACGCTTCAGCTGTTGCTTCAGCCAATCTAGAACAAGTAGTAGACGTTGATTATGGAAGCACAGTTACTGGTTGTTTATCTAGTTCAGTTAAACCTGGTCTTCACTATGCAAACATACTAATTAACCAGGTAAGCTTTTTTTCCGAACCACAACAGTTTACGATCATTGGTGATTGTTTTGTTAATCTACATAAAAAGCTGTGTCATTAATTATTCCACTATCAGTAGAATTTGTTGTTGCTCCACTTGGTGCCTAGTATGCTTTTATGTCATTCAGAATTCGTTCAGTGTAAAAACAGCGTAATGAAAAGTGGGGTTCACATGGTTATTTAAAAGGACTGTTATCCGATTACTTAGGGGAAAAACACCTGATGCTTATTGTATTCAACAATTACTGTGCATTTAGTAAACTGAACTCTTATCGTTAAGAGGTATAAGCTACTTGTATGTGTTCAACAACAGTTTTTGTAATTATATTTAACCTCACTGGGTAATTCAGTCTTCGGTCTTTAATTCAAGCTTCCCATCTGGTTCTTTTATCTTACTTTCTTTCCAAATCTTTTATCCCTTACTGTCTCTTCTATAAAATGAACCAATCCTTGTTGGTGTTGATTAATAGTTTGAAGTGAAACTATCATATTCAAAGCACCCGATTCTCTCTCTGGTATATATAATGTTTTGAATTTGGATGAACAATAGGGAAATGAAGGTCATTTCAGATAATGATTGATATCATCTTTTTATTGTAACTGCATCCCGTAGTTTTGTGACATCAAAAAGAGATATATATATCCAGTTATCCATGCTCAAACACTACTGGTGGTGATGAAAGCACCAAATGATCACTTCCTGTGTTACCTAAATGAGTCGTTGAAATTGTAAATCCCCAACAACTGAAGTTATTATGACACAATGTATGTTTGTGTGTTTCAGTGAATTGTGTTCGTGAATATAGATCTCCGAATTCGAAACTTACATATCACTTGTAACTGATGTTTATACACTTAGTATCATAACTCACAATGGTTTACCTTCACAAAGAAATATCTAGTGGCCAGTTTTCAAAGTCGTAGTAACCTTATTATCCCAACCGACAGCTGCTGACGTTACTTAGCTATCGGACTTGCAAATCATAATGACCCGATATTTGTTCTTTTAGGTCCAATCATACCAGAAAGGCTTGTTGGGTATTGGTATGATAAAAAGCAGTTACCATTATAGTGTAAATAGCCTACATTATGGTGGGAGTCGAAGGGTAAAGCTGTACTCCTGACTGGCTGTAGTGTGATTACAGCGCATACCGCATGTATGCTTCTACAAGTATACAAAACCCAACTTACTGGAAACAACACTCATTACTTTGATCTCTGTTTTCTTCACTTCGTGATACCAATATTAGGATCTGTGGCGAACCTGCTAAATTAGCTTTATCGGTCACCGAAAATTCATAGCGTGGCTTATGACTTCAGTGCATAAATGTGTACTACTGGGATGAGTTGTATTATATCTTTTCCTTATGCACATATGTGACTGTAAAAATCACTTTAGCGATCAAAGATAGCACAGTTATATTTTGTACACGTGTCAATATTTTATCAGAAGTGTTAACATTGAATTTGTTTAATTCGCCGAGAAGTTAGTTTTCTAAAGGCTGCGTATATATATGTTGCGAAGCAGCTTCTGCAACCATTCTTCTCCATCTTTTGTACAATTTATTTTTGGCAGATATTTCGGTTGCTATCCATTATTACTCGTTAACTACTGTTCAATTCACATTGGATCAAAAATATTTACCGAAATTTATTTTTTAGCTTCGAAGAAGACATTCCTCTCGGTTGTATGCTGTTGACCTCTTCACAAATGAAGTAGGTGGTCGGTTAAGGCCTACATGGGTTGAACAACTCCTAACTCAATTATCGTCACTTCTAGATTATCTTCAACGTCTTGCTTGGGCTCACTTGCATCCAGGTGGGTCTTGGCGTTTTGAAAATTTGGAGAGTCAGAGCATTCCTAATTGGTTGGCTGATGAATTGAAACAAATTGCTCATAATTGTGGTTTGCCGAGAAACAATTTCCCATGCCAAGTAACAGAGGATGCAATGTACTCTCAAAATTCAACAAAGCTTGATTCAACTTCTCAATCTGTTGCTTCTGCTAGTTCTCGAAAAGATGAAAAAGATAAATCAAAATCTCCAAAGTCCAAATCTAGTAGTCGCCCCTCTGATTACATTAAGCCCAAAAGTGATCCTGATTGTGCTTGTGAGCGAGACGACGTTAAATCATCTAGTGGGACACAGAAACAGTCTGTTTTACTGACAAACGCACCGGTTTTTCATGAAGTTAATCAAATTGCATATGAGCTTTTGTCTGAAGATTGTGAAAGGGATCCATATTTTAAGCATCTTCGAGATGTGCTTTCTACTGAAATGGAAAACCTGCAAAATGAGAGTATACTGGTAAGAAACTATCTTATTTCATACTTTTGTATCTCAGTTGCTTTAAAGTGTTGCACAAGTTGTTTGCTTATTGGTATCTTATAAGATTGCATTGATCAAGTATAATTCTGAACGGTGTCTGACTGTTATGTTCCCCTGCTCCACAATCACTAAGTTGAATGTAGAGAAGCGAATCTGTTTTTTCTTTTTAATTTTCAGATACGCTTGACTCATCATTTGCTTGAATTATGAACTCTTGCACCATTTTTTTAATTTTCCATATTCAGTCTCTGATTCAGAAGTTAACACGACGTTGGTTGCCAATGGTTGAACAATACGTGGCTAACTTACCTGTTCGAACTCATATCGCCAGTTATGGGGCAAGGCGTCTCTTAGAACTGCCTAGTCTTGTTTCTTCTGTCAGCGCGCCTAAGATACCTTCATCCGGAACAAATGCATCGAACGCACCACAAGTACATTCCGTTTTCTCATCAATATCAACAGTTTCTTGCCTTGAACTTCCGGGGGAGTCAGGGCTTCTTCAATCCTCAGGGGTAAATTTCAGCCCTATGGTTACTCCACATCACTTCCAAAACGAAGTTAGTCAACAAATCGGTGGTTACATCAACAACATCCCTCTATGTCTTCATGTAGCCGAGATTATGCCACATGTAGAACGTATCCGGTGCTCTGCTGGTCAATCCTCTCCTCCTGCTCGTCGTATCGGCATTCGAGCTAGTAATGGTCGGCTATTTTTCTACGACTTAGCGTGTAATAATACTTCTCCAATCTTGGAACTAGCTGCCATGCAGATGGATGCATTATGTTGTGCGAAATACCATGAAATCCTTAATGCAATTTCCATCAAAGAAGCAGTCAATCTTGAGCATTTTACTGAGAAAGAATTTTGTTCACCGGCTTATGTAAGTTGGAGACAAACTGGTCCTCTTCAGTTGTTCCAAATGATCAACTCCATACTGCTTGCACACCAGAAACAGCCAAAAGAAATCTTTCGCTCTTCGTTCCAAGGTACAGTTAAAATTATAGTTTCTTTTTCAGCCGTATCCTTTTCACGACCTGGAGGTAATATCATGTATGCGTTGATACCGTCGATAGTGCGGTTATGGTTTAGGCATCGATTGAAAAGAAAAACACCTGGGAAAGTTGCAGCTCCCTTACCTAAGTTTAATCAAATTTCAAACCTTTATTATTTATAGTTTATATACTCCATAACTACCAGTATTTTCTTAGCGTATGTAGCCTAAGTACTTAAAGTTTACGGAACAGAAATGACCGATTTCTGTGAACAAAATGTACTTTAATGGATGCCTCAGTATTACCTACCATTTCATTGTACCATTTATACTAGCAGTTGTAATCAAAATCATATTTGAGACGCATCACATAGTAGCGTCTTCGTATCAGGATATCAGTGTTCACAACACCCACTTCTTTGAATCTATATCCTAGTAGTGGCTATCAAATGCTAGTAACATTTTGTCGACTTCGATATTGTACCACTCTTAAAGTGGGTACATTTATCAAACAATATTGAGCAATCTTGTTACTTAGTATTCTTAACATAAACTTATGTTTTTCGGTACGAACAGATACGCCAAATAAGTTAATTAGATTCTGGAATGTAATAATAATAATAATAATAATAATAATAATAATAATAACATAGTCACATTATTCAAGGCAATACATGTGATTCAGTAGGGAATTCATGCTACTTAATATTTCAGTGGGCTCACTCGTTGTACAATACTTCCAGATTGAATAGCTATAGCATTTAGATAATTTTCATGATATCAGAATTATTAGCCATAAAAAGGCTGCAACCGGATGTTGTCACGTTGTCCTCTTGTTCTTCGGTATAATCTTGCACCAGATGGTGAAATCAAAAGTATGCGTAAGTTTCCTAGTGAATGTTGCTAAGCCAGCCTGAAAAATCTCAGGTCTGACCTAACCATTCCAGTAAATGTTATATGATGCATCGTCTTCGTTTAGCCCCGAGTTCATTCTCATACAGTTATCTTTTCTTCACTTAATTTAATTGCTAACCCGAAAAGTCACAATTTTCAGATATCTTAAGATATGTGAGAGTACGTGAAACCAGTTGCTCATAAAACAAATTCCGAAACAGCACTTTAATAGTATATCTCCTGCAAAAAACGTTTATCGTTCTTTATTATTTATCCCTTGAGTTCCTAGTGGAACATAGGGCTTCAGTTGCACGTCTCCACTGCACTCTGTTCTCTGAAGTCTTCTCAACCTGGTTCCACCATTGCCCACAAGCTTTCATTTCTTCCACACACCATCTCCTCCATGTCACCCTCGCCTCCAACGCCCAACTCATCGTTTCCCCTTTGGATTCCACTCGACGACCTGACGCGTAATGTCTCCAATTCGTCCTCTCAGTATATTCCCAATACAATCCATCTCCACCTTCTTCTGCATATTTGTTGGGTGACAGGTTCTTGGTTGGTTCGTTGCCAGCCAGCCAGAGTTCCTTGTTGCTTATTCTTATTCTTTGTGGCCATCTTCAGTGTCAGTATCGAGTGAGCGTAGGTGGCAGCTGTTGATGAATGTCTGTCTGCAGTTTGTTGGAAGTGCTTTTCGTGACGCGCCAAGTTTCTGAACCATATAGAATCACTGACTTCCTTGACTGAATTGGTGTTGAAAATCCTGATCTTGTTCACGCTTTATGGTGAGTGCAGTGCAGTGCAGTGCAGTTGAGTGGAGTGGAGTGGAGTGGAGTAGATCGCCACACTGATTTCAGACTAATGAAGGTGTGTCTTGCTGTCTTCCTGATCATCATCATCATCATCGGCGGCGGCGAAATCCAAATCTCCTTTTGGGGTATTTTCATCGGTGCAGTCAGCGTATGCCCATCTTCTCACAGCTGACTGGCATTCTATACTCTGTTCTTTGATGATGCGTAGTGTAGCGTTGCGTTGCGTTGCAATTTGATCCGCACATGATTTGTACTTCCTGAATTCAGCCAGCCATCCTGTTCCGGTCTCAATTTTGAATCCAGCACATGTTTTAGTCTCTGCAGGATGATGCGGCTTAATATTTTGTTTGAGGTGGACAGAGGTGGAGCATGGTTTCGCGCCAGTTCTTGCAAGGACTTAGGTCGCCCTTCTTTAGGAGTCCACTGATAAGGTAGCCCTTCTTCCAATCAACCAGCAGGCACCTTTCCTCCCTTGCTTCCAAACCTTCTGCAACAGTGGTGTGAGCATGTCGGCTGTTGTCTCTGCGTCTGTTTTCAGTGTTTCTGGCGGAATTCCATCTGGTCCTGGTGCTTTCTCGGATTTCAGCAATCTTCTGGCGTTGAGGACTTCACTTCGGCTTTTGTCGGAGAGCTTGTGTTCACTGATAGTTCTGTGGCTGGACTGCTGGTGGTGTTTGTGGACGAGTTGCAGGTAGTGGTGGTGGTGGTGGTGGTGGCGGTGGCAGTGGTGGTCGATTGAAAAGTTTTTTGAAGTGGTCAGCCCATCGTTTCCTTTGTTTCTCCTCTTTGGTGGTAACTAAGTCTCCTCCACTATCTTTCATTGGTTTCATCTGTGTTGATCTCTTCCCTCCCAGATAGTAATCTGATTATTTGATATAATGTTGTTAGGTCTCTGTCTCTCCTACCCGCAGCCTGCAGCCTGTTCTGCTTCACTTGCCAGTGTGTCGTAGAAGTGTCTTTTGTCTTTCCGCACACTCTTCTTCACTTCTTTGTCCAGTGTAGTGTTCTATAGGTTGTGTTCAGTTCCTCTTCTCGTTGTTCATCCCTGAAGTGCACTGCACTACACTGCACTGGTTCATCTTCTGCTTCACTATCTTCCTCTGCCTGCTCTATCAGCTTCCGTGTGGACATCCAGTCCTTGTCTTGCCTCTTCTTCTCCAGTTGTTATACAGGGTTGAATTTTTTCAACCTCTGTTTGCAATAGGCTCCTGTGTGGATGCCTCGATACTGCTGAATATTCCTGATGTTATATTCATCTTGATGTTTCTTAGTTAACTCCTGGACGCTTTGGTGTTTAAAGCGATGGGTACTGCTCTCGAGTCTCAGTGGGGTGCAGATTCATCCAGCTAACGAGTACCAAATAGGATGAAACAAGCGTCCTGGATTCCATTGCAAGTCATTGAAATAAAAAAAATACCTGACATCTGAAGCTGAATATTGGCACCAACGTTTATCTTTAGATTGTTTATTCTTTCGCACAACTTCATCTTCTTTGATATCATTCGTTTTCTATTCACCTGTTCTTTGTGTACTACTGTAAAGTGTGGCAACATGAGTCGAGGCACCTGTGTGTGAAGTCCCATGGTGATTTTTTTTTCAGTCAGTCATTTCTTTCAATCATGGGTTTTATTATATAGTTACTATTACTGTCTATTTAAAAAAACAGGTTTTCAACTATGTATTTCGTGTTCAGTAAAACCCTAAATAACATGTAAACACTAACGACATATATGGCTCATTTATTCCATTAGCATACAAGAAAAAGCTTCTAGTTATCTTAGACTGCCGTAGCACAGTTAATCTTGATTTGATAAAACTAAAGGGATAGGTCGTTTCAATGTACGCTTTTCTGTTTGTGTTTAACACGAAAATCGGAATTATCTAGCTTTGTAACTGGTTTTACTACGAATACATTCGGGTTGACTTAGCTCATGTCACTGAGATTATTGTTATTTACTAGAGCTTAAGGTTAATATGCATAATGAAAGCACAAGTGAACAAGATTCACCTTCCATGATGAAAATGTCATAAGTATGTACTTTACAGACTTATTTTAAAACAGATAGTCTCTGAATTCAAAAATCACGTCTGTAAATCGATGTAGGGTTTAGTCCATTAGCCTACTATGAACATCTGCCAACCTTTTAGAAACTATTTGCCTGTAAACTTTCTTGTAGTATCATTTTGATGTGAAACACCTTTTTTGAAATCATCTTAATAATGGTCTTTCTGTTATTTAATTTCATTAGACGAATGGAAGTTGGCCCTTCTGGGCTTCATTTAACTCAGGTCGGATCATCCGTACCAGCAGCAAATGTTAATATTGCTAGTGCATGCCCTTTACCTTCTGGAAACCCGGTGAATAATCCTAGACTAACAGCTTTGGCAAGACCACCTCCTGTAATTCCTAGTTCTGCCTCAAATTCTGTAGATGAAAATCAACGCAATCGGTTGACCTTATCATCATCTGAAGAAAAGGTTAAACAGTATTCCTGGTGTTTATCTTTTGCTGAACCTAATTTATCGGTAAATGGTGATAAAGATCAGTTTGGTGCAACAGATGCCTCTGAATTTTTAAAGGTAGCGTGAGTGTATGTCATAACTTTCAGTAGGACTCATCAGCTTTTTACACTACTTGATTTTGAAACCTATTAAAACTAATGTCATATATATATATATATATATATATATATATATATATATATATATATATATATAATCCTTTAGGAAAAAGTGTAGTGAAATCATTCTTAGAATTGTACTTGCAATAGCAATGACGCTTCTTCGAAAAATGATAAACACTCATTTCATTTAAGTATATGAGAATGATTTATGAAGTGTAGTGGATTCGCCGTCCACATACGTATTTTTTTCAATGTATTTCGTGTTATCTTCCAACTTAATTATCTACATTTCCCTCTGTCTTTTACAATGCTTACAATCAGTTACTTTTTATATCCTTCTTTGACTAATTCTCATAGTCGTCATCAATTTTCTGTTACCCTCCACTGTGGCGACAATTTTTACGTCGTCTACATCCTAAATGAATAGTTTTGTTAGCGTTGCTCAGTAAAATGTCTTATTTATTTACTTCATCAAGTTAAAATCCTCTGCTCGTAATGACTAGATCGATTGATATTGTTCTGCAAACTAAACTGATATTAACCTACTCTTACTTGCTAATACCTGAAACAACGTAGTTCCCTATGATTTTTTTTTCATTTTATAATTTTCCATGAAGTACAATTTCATCGTAAAAAAAGCATGGTGGTCTGAGATCTCCACTTAAAAATTCAATGTACTTTCTTCGTATGATCACCTCACTTATTATTCATCCACTTGTATTCATTTGTGGAGCTGTGGCTCATTGGTTCAAACACTTACCCACTAACTATTGTGTTGTGACTTAACTCAGAACTTGGTTAACGTCGTTTATTCCTTCTCCACAAATGTTGGATATAGTCTGGTACTTGGATCTGTATGTAGTTATTAAGATTAATTCACGGTTGTCTATCATTTTGTCACTATTTTGCCATGTCTCATTAGGACAACTAATTATATGCCATTGCATTCTAGTAGATTCTTTATATGTCATTCCTGTACGCTTTCCGATAAATGTTTTATGCATACTGATACTTAGGATGATGAATGTTAGATGTGTAATATTACATCAGTGATGTTTCTTAGATTTTACTCATATTTTCCTTGAAAATTGCAGGCTCGTATTTGTATTCCACCTCCTCCACCTCCTGGGCCGTTTCAAATTTAGTGACAGTCCAGTCTATCAATATGAATAATCAATCAACAGTTGCTGGAAGTGCTGCAATGGCTTTGGAAGCGATTGGGCATCCAGCGGGTCTAGATGCTGGTTGTCATTGTGCTTGTGTTACGCTTTGTGGTATTCTAGAAAATTGTAGCTCAACTTGATTAGCAATTCTAAAAATAAACAAAAACACAAGTTATTCGATGATATATGTCAATCATAAAATCAGATTACCACGAATTTAGAATGAAGGTCAAGCCTGCAGGTGTAACCCTAGAGACAATCAATGCTTCCTCAAGTTCTCTGTGTGATAATCTTCCAACTGGATCTAGAAATTTAGTGTGTTTATTTTACGAATATATTTCTCATGTGTTCAGTCGTAGTGTTGCAACAAATCAAGATTTATTCAAAATATTCCTTGAACTCTCGTCTAAAATTCCACAAACTGTGTTTGTTCGTGATCCCTTATTTTCAAAGTAGCAGACAATTACAATGATAAATTTCTTAAAATGTATTTTTATTCTATCACAATAGTACTATATCTTCTGAGTTACACATTCTCATTTCCTACATATTTTAGTTTGGTATCTTCGGCAACGATGATCAAACTGTTAATATTGAGTCTTTGACTGATCGATTGGAATTTCCACGTGGTAAACTTCTTAGACGTTGGGCTGAACATCAAATGCTTGATTCTGAGAGCTACTGGCTGTTGCGTCGTAATCTAGCACATAATATTGGATTGTATGGATTGATGGAACGACTTTTCAACCTAACACCACTTCATCCAGGTTGTTTGGTGATCGATCCACGTTCTGGAAACACGGAAATACATCAAACTTGTTTCGGTTTACCAGGAGATAGTCTGTCTGAACCATTCCAATCAATAAATTCTGAAAGGGGATTCAATCAATCCTACTTTATTTTTTGCTTTTTGCGAACAATGCTTATACAGAAAACTGAGAGATTAGGTTAGTTGAGTTCTTTTAAATTCATTGATATTAAATTTTATCGCATATCAGTTGAATAATGATCAGTAGATTAGTTATTAGTTCGTTCTTTTCATTTGTTTTTAAAAATAATACAGATATCAGTGAAATCACCAAACTCTTATCTGGAATGCAATTTAAGTATTAAGTATTAACTAAAGCGATCCAACTGTCTACATAGCGTTTTGAAACTTACCTCTATTTGTGTTATTTTGAAGAACGATCCACTAAACAGATAATGCCTTATCGAAAGTTTCATGTTTGTTAAATGCTGATTTGAGTTCAAAGAAAAATTGTGCTAGGACAAGCTCCAATTGTCAGTTTCCTGTTCGCCAGCTCGATGCTTAGCTAACTAAAATTTCCCCTCCTAGTAGTTGGCCTATGTCCCTTACCGGTATCTAACTTCTTATGATCACCTCACTTATTATTCATCCACTTG